CCTGAAAACTAACGGTATAAATGGAATACAACCACAAGTCAAACTGAAGGTCAACTATGGCGATGATAAGTTTATCATTATCGTACCATCCACCATTGCATACAACCAGCTGCTAGACCGAATCGAACACAAAGTCAAAATGTGTGGTGCTACTGGTGTAGAAGTACCTATAAACCCCATCAGGATAAGATATCAGGATGAAGATGGTGACTTCATCTCGATGAACTCGGACGACGACGTGCAGATGGCGTTTGATGTGTCGGGCGATCCTGGGAAGGATGGCAGCTCAGGGATAACCGGTGTTGTCACTCTTTACGTGTCGGCTTAAAACCGATACGAAAATTTTCTTTTTTTACATATTCGGAAAGAATTTTTTGCGGGGTTTTGCTTGTGCATTCTTGGCGATTGATGGGTGGGTGTGGCGTTACGAATCTTTCTTTTTTTTTTCTCAAACCATTTTCCTTTGTTATTCCCCATGTCCTCGAGTTTTCACTCACCTCTTTCTTTTAAATGTTTACATCTTTGGAAAATATTGGGGGTTCAATTGTGAGTGTTGTATCATCTTTCGTCATTTGGCAAGATTTTGTCAACAACCAATATCAATGGGCTAGGATGATAGTGCAAAAAGTGATAGTTTTAAGGGAGATGGGAAGCAGGAAGACGACAACATAACGAATTGACTCAGCGTGGATCTTGATACAGTTGTATTTTTTTTTTCTAGTTTCTTCACTCATACCTTCCTTTTTTTTCTCTTTTCTTTTTTCTCAGCCAGGTTGAATTCAAAGGATTATTTTTCTCGATTCAGCGGAAGCAATTTTGTTTAATTGAAAATTCTTTATTTTTTCTTTTTTTTATCTGCGACTTTTACAGCTTTCCTTTGTTTTCTTTTCTTATCTTTTACCTCTTTGTGTTAGAGTTGGGGTGGGGTCCGCGAGGACTTGTTTCGTGATTTTTGTAGGATTGATTTAAGTGCCAGAAGGGCCATGTCAGAGATCAAAAAATAGGAGTACATATCCCAGGATTCCCGAAGTAAAATGAAGCAGTTCCCTGTGAAGGGCTAGTATGTAGTGACTAGATATTTTCGCCTGTCCAGTAGTTGTTTATACGAAAGCCACGTGCGCAAGAAAACTGAACCCTAAACAAATCCAAGCCTACGGAACATGCCAGTACTCCTATAGAATGTCGTGAAGTTGAACAACAGCCCACAAACCTACTCTAATGTTTGCCTTAGTTTTTGTATGTACTCCCCCTGAGATTTGCTTTTTGCTTACTCTTTTTTTCTAGCGTGTAGGATTCTCAATGGATGGTGATCACGGAATGCAGGGGTTTGCTTTTGCTCTTTATTAGCATTAGGGCCTTTTTCTAGGTACATACTCTACTCTACTTTAGCCCGCAGTCATGTAATGCAGCCCAACCCGTTGACTGCCGATGTGGGGCGTTGTGGTTAATTGGTTGGTTAGTGGGGGAAAGCCCCTGGTGAAGATGAAAAGATTGAGGTGTAAGAGAGTAGGGCACAGGTTGATAATCACTCATTATCATTCACACACATCCACCCATTAAACCGCTCGTGACAATGTGTACCTGAAAATCAGGCCGGTGCTTCTTTGGTATGATAGGGCCAGTGCCAACCAATTGAGTACGGTACCGTCAAAGCATATTTCCAGGTATCATGCCTCTCCAATAAAGTACTTGCGGGCTGTACGCTCTGTTGGCTGATTTGCGGGTGATCAGCATTGACTTCTGCAGTTGGGTTTGGTATGTGTGTATGAGGGGATCCACGGTGCTCAGGCATTATCAGTGTCATTGGGGTTTTGATCATTGGTGGTGGTATGTATGATGAGCGATTATGCACTCCCCTTGAATACTGTCTCTTGATATTCGCGTGGAATTAGGGGTGAAGCGAAGGCGTTTTCGCGTGTTATCCTATCCGATAAGTGTCTTCATGTCGGAGTATTCGCGATCAATCTTTGTCTCTGTCATGCGAGTTGAAGAGTGTAGAGTAGTTCCTTGTTGAGAGAGTGGGGATATATTCAGGGGGATCAATTAATTCGCCTCTTTGGTGGAGGTGTCAACAGTAGGTGGTTCCTCACATGTTTGCTCACGTTTGTTTTTTGTGTGACGGGACAAGTGGGAAGGTCAATGATTGAGTGGATGCCTGTCACTCTAAAAGAGGGGTTGTTGGTTGTTGGTGTGTTGTGCAGATATGCATTGCGTCATGATTCCCGTAATCCTCAAAACCAAGCTTTTGAGGCTCCCCGTCGTAATAATGTGGGGTACATAGGTAGTGTAGCAACAGACACATAAGAAACCTATTTCCCACTGGAAGCTTGGCCCCAAGAACTTACTTTCCTATCATTAGTAGCTACTTTGTCTATCACTCAAATATCGAGCACTACTCCTGCATATATCTCTAACCTAAAATGTCTGCAATTGAAACTGGTATGGCTGCCTCTGACTAAAAGGAAATACAGTCTAACCAAGAAACAGAGCGGCAGTCTACGCCTCATCAGAGGTTCAGAGAGAGCCAAAAGGGCGCAGGACATAAGCACCCTGGATTAGACCCGAGTCGATCTTCTACGTAAGTTGTAGATCTCATGCTCGTGAGCTTAACCGACTTTGTTTGACCTATCAAAACGATTGACCAATGGATAGTGGTGTTGTTTGGACTACCGAGCGAGCTTACGAACACGGCTTCCTCGAAAATCCGCAGGAATGGAGTAATCTGGGTCAGGGAGCTCCCGAAGTTGAAGATGATATTCCGCATGCGTTTCACAAGCCCACAAACATTGATGTCTCGGTCTCCTCTCGTGAATATGGTCCCACCGCCGGGATTACTCCTCTCCGGGAGGCGGTAGCAAACCTTTACAACACTCAATTCAGAGCTAATAAGCCTTCAAAATATACATGGGAGAACGTGTGTATCGTTCCGGGAGGGCGTGCAGGACTACTGCGTATTTCTGCGGTATTGGGAAACGCTTATCTAAGCTTCTTCATCCCAGACTACTCGGCGTATAATGAGATGCTTGGTTTGTTTAAGAACTTTGCAGCTGTTCCGTCACCGCTAGATGAATCGGATGGGTATAAAATTCATCCGGAAAAAATTAGGGAAGAGGTGAAGCGAGGTGTTAGTGTGATTCTTACTAGTAATCCGAGGAACCCCACAGGCCATATGCTCAGCGGAGAAGAGTTGAAGGAAGTACTGGATATTTGTAGAGAGAGATGCACAGTGATTATGGACGAGTTTTATAGCGGGTATCTCTTCTTTCGAAATTTATATGAATCCATCTCTAGGTTATAAGGCTTACTGAATTTGATTCTGCAGATACAATTATGCCGGTAATTGTGATGGTACCACTATCAGTTCTGCATCCTATGTTGAAGGTCTGAACCACATCCGCTTTATATATAGCAACTTTTCTTATTGATTATAACAGATGTGGATGATGATAACGTCCTCATTATCGACGGCATGACTAAACGCTTTCGTCTTCCCGGATGGCGCATTGCTTGGGTCGTCGGTCCCAAGGAATTCATCAAAGCAGTCGGTTCCTGTGGTTCTTACCTTGATGGCGGTGCCAACGTGCCATTTCAACTTGCGTCAATACCGTTGTTAGAGCCAAACTTTGTTGTGAAGGAGATGGCAGCATTACAACAGCATTTCAAAAGTAAACTGGATTTTGTTATCCAGAGGTTGACGTCGATGGGTTTCAAGTTCCCAGTAAGTGAACAATTATTACAAGTGGAAAGCTGGGGAACTTTTCTAATATCTCTGCGTACAAGTAGAATTTACCAGACTCAACATTCTATGCAAGTAAACCGCTCCTACATATTAAATCGATAGATACTAATTGTCTTGTCGCAATCACAGATCTGGCTCGATCTCGCTCATCTCCCAGAGAAAATCCGTACTGGCCTTGGCTTCTTTGAAGAATGTTTGAAAGAAAGGGTAATTGTGGTACCGGGTATTTTCTTTGACCTTAATCCAAGCAGCCGGAGGGATTTGTTTGATAGCCCATGCCATCACTTTGTCAGGGTAAGTTATGGACCAAAATGGGATAAGTTAAATATGGGCTTAGATGGGATCGAAAGAGTTCTAAGGAAGTAAGTTTCCCGGCCTGGGCATCGGGTTCCGTTATTTCTCTAACAAAGTACAGACATGGCGCAATCGAATGATATATCACTGAGCGGCTAGGAAATCTTTATAGCAGAGCGCAATCTGTATTCATTCAATCGACCGATCTAAAGAGTCATTGGAGTTTTAGTGTTGTGAAACTCACAATCTCTCACTTGAATGCTTACTGTGCATGTGGTGTTAGCACTTGATCCAAGTCTTACTGCAGAATAATTTGGCACCACGATCTAATGTTGAAACAGTTAGACCCGGTATATAAAGATTGTTTATCGCATTTAATCCGTTAGTATAGGCTTCAACAATAAACAACAGCCATATATTACATGTAGTGATAATATCCCCAACGCTCATGATAGTGGTTGATTGCCAGACATTAGATAGGCTGACCAGTCTACAGATCTAGATACTATTATCATATATATCCACATAGCAATTGTAATTTCTTTGCCAGAGGTATAGAACTGACATTACAAAGAATTCCGTAAAATTAGAAGAAAGCATTTTTCCACTCAACATCCCTAGGTTTTACGATAAAGAAAATTATCTTTGGTGACCATAATAATATGCCGAGCCTCAGAGGCTGTTGAATCGAGACAGATTTTTTGCACCCGGCGCTAGGTAAAAGTTACGCTAGCATGCGAGTCGCCGGCACAGTCACGCGTGAACCACTTAACGCGTCTAAACGCGTCTTCCTGATATCAGTAGTTTGGGGGGCTCACTTTTTTCCAAAACATAAAAACCCCACCATAACCCCCGAACATCCCCCGAACATCCCCCACTCATCCCCCACTCATCAGCAATATTAACCATCTGACGGCTTCATCAACTGGGCTCTGAAGCCCCTCAAATCTACAGTTGATAACCAATTATGGCACCGAGTGGTTCAAATACAAAGGTCACGGCTTCCAGAAAATCCGCCAAGGTGAAGGACGCTTTACCAACTATAAGAGTTACTAAGGTTTCAAAGATCCCGAAGACCAAAGCGAAGTCGACGGCAGGGGAACTGCCTCCGAGAATTACCCGAAAAACGACTCAAAAAGTGGTGAAATCGTCAAAACTACTTCATGATGTAATAAACGGGAACGACCCCATTGATCGACTAACCGATGATTGCCTGGATATTTTCTTCTCACTCACCCCAGTAGTCGATCTCATTAAGATGAGAAGTGTGAGTAGACTGTGGAAGGATTCCATAGACTGGCGTTTGGGGAATCTTTACTTTCAGAGGAAGTATTTTCCCGAGTTTGCTGCAACTAAACCTTCTCCGAGTGCCACTATCCCTTCTCTGTTTAGTAGAGATGAATTATCAAGAATGTTTAGGAGAAATGGTTCGTCCACAGATTCATTCCCTACATTTTTTATAGTGAGAAAAAAACTTACGACTGAAAACGTTCTCTAGTCTATCTCGACACGATGAGAACCAAGTCTATTGCAACTTCCGTCAAAAAGTTTACAAAGATTTTTTACCACAGTCTGTGGTGTTATAGATCATGGGCGATTTGCGGTGACTATTTTGTTTGGATGGGAGAAGAACGTATTCCTCCCCACTTCTTATGTTTCAAGCGCCGTCCTTCAGGGGTTCTTAGCTGAAAGTCAGTAGATCTTAATATTCAACGTATTTTCAATGTGGGGGACGATGAAATCCAACCAATAAGAAGTTATCAATTACTAGAGAAATACTTCACTTCTTCAAATTTTTCGAATTCGCGACAGGCAATACGGCCTGAAAGCTGTGGTGTTGGGAGCGAAGGAGATCCTCTTCTTGCATTAATAGTGTATCAAAGGTCTACTGATAATTACCCCGCATGGAAGCTGGGTGGGAAGTACGTACACGCAAAATAAATTAGCGAGTCTCCATCACTCTCTAACTATAACAATAGGGTTGTTGTCGTCAATGTGGTTACTGGGAGACGCTTATGGTCTCACGAAACACCACGAGATACATCGCAGATTTATGCCATTCCCACCCTACGGCAGTACGCCTTAAATGCTAATATCTTCGTATGGTCATACAAAACACCGCACCCCGAAGTTTCATCGCTTGAGATAAGGGATATTCGGACTGGAGAAATATTGTTGCAAGTTGATGGGCTTGCACCAATAGTGCATAGGGGAGGCCCGGAAAACCGCACCGGTAATTCCCATGCTGGTATTTGGGTCCATCCACGTCGAAATTTAATCTTCTGCATACTTGGGCAGCAGACCCCAAAGCGTATGGGTATTATCTGCGCAGACACGGGCAACTGGGTGGCCATAGCTGAGTTGCCGGTGACACAGTTGAGAGAATGCCCCACTTGTCATGGCCCCGCCAGCAGATTCAATACTAATATCCTTCCTCATGGGCCCTTTCGGGTCAATTCACTATTCGGATGTGTGATGTTTGAGGAATCGGCTCCAAAAGATCCCGATTCTCTTGAAAACTTTTACATCCGCGAATATAATTTTGTGCCGTTTTGCAGCCGGTACCCTTGCCCGATACCGGAACATGCACCAATTTATACTTTCAAACTTCCGCCTCAAGAAGAGCTTCAGACGAAGGATATTAAAGACATCTTGGGAGCCCCAAGTCTTTTACTTGAAAAAATTGAAGTTTTTAATATTGATCACTACTTCCAAATCGAGCACGAGACAGAAATGAACGAGCTTATGCCGTTTGGTTTCGGAAGAAGGCCTTATGTAACTATCAACCCAACAACCAAAGTGGTGTGCAGACTAGCATTTGACCATGATAATGAAGTAAATCTTCTCCACGTTAACCTAAAGCTGGAGCCCGAAATGGACGTTTTGACTGAGCATAAATCAACGTTTTACTCGCCACAGCCGACCACTATCAAAAAATTTGTAACGAGGCCTCAACGATATCTCCAATACGTGCAAGGGAAGAAATGGGTCAAGTGCAGGTTTGCGAATATGAAGGTCCAAGCATTGAACGACAAATACCACGTTTATTCGACCAAGAAGGCTGTTATCCTATTGATGTATGAGCCCAAATGGTAGTGGAACTCTATCCATCGCTCAATCTCAGTATTGGTCTTTCCATCCTCCTCACTCAACATGTGTTTGTTTTTCTTTCTAAATCACGTGTTTTACTCCTTTGTTACCTAAGAAACCCTCCCAGGGTCTGTATCAATTCTATACATATATCCGTTATTCTCTCCTGCTCTCTTCCTCCCCTCTATTTCAACGCCTCATTATCCCTAATCTCTTCTCTATCAATTTTCCAACCTCATTTATTTACCACCGCTGTTGCCGTCATGAGCACACTAAAACTGATCACTCCGTCCGCCAGATTTGAAGAGTGGGCGCTCATAGATCTCGAGGCCCAGAAATACTTCTCGAGAGGATCCATCAAACCAAAGTTTGAGGCGGAACAAGACGACGAAAAAATACTCAAGCCCCAAAGCTTCTTCATGTTGGTGCTGGAATTTCTCAGGAAGGCGCTGCGCACAGTTTGAATGCTATCAGCTGGTAGTAGGGTTTGAAGGGAAGCATCTGCAAGGTGGGCCCTTCTGTATTCACACATACATATTCACGACAGAGTACGGGGTGTGGATTCCAGACGTCGTTTATTTCCTATCTCATATTAGTTCTCCGTTGTGCGATTTCATTTGCGCCTGCGTCATTAACAATCTATTTTTCGCAATGCCTCTTTTTCTTTTCCTGTTTTTCTTTCTCACTTTAGATCGAAGGTGATTGTGGAACGGGAAAATAAAACTTTGCAAACCTGGGGGTCGCTGGTACCATGGTGTTGTGTTACAAGCTCGAAGTTACAGCGGGAGGTCAATAACTAGTGGCCTTGGCAAAATGTGCACCCGACCACCCCCGCGGGATGAAGTTCTAGATTCTCTTTATTGCTGTCGGCTCAGTTGTTTTCTCAAAAGCCTCTAAATGCCAGCTCCTAGCTAAATACGTATTATGTAGTTTAATCACCAAGACTGGCCTAAGGATAAGAAATGCCCAGCCTTTTGGTTCTGTGGAGTACTCGTTCTTTGTTCATCGTGTTGGCTGATAGAATTACATATCGGCTGTCTCACTTGTCAATAGAGTACCGAAAAGAAGGCTTGAATGAGGCGGTTCGATCGGTCGATCGGGTGTGGATACTATTCTTTGAGCGGTATGTAGTATGTTCATGGATTATCACTCAGATGATTAGTATCTCCTATTGAGCATTAGGGGTAACTGGGCATGAATGTGGAGCAAAAGATACTAGATTCAACATAGAATATGGTGTCGTCTTATATACATAGGTTCATATTGGTAGCTAGCTGGAGTAGAGCTGGGGTAATATGGACTAGGTGTCGTGATGCCAAGAACTGTGGAAATGATTGATGCAGAAGAAAACATCTGGCACTACAATCACATTTTTGCATTCTATAAAGTGACATGGCAGGAAGAGTGTCAGGGAACAAAATTGTGGCCCTTTCATAAGACAAGTATCATTAGTCATTACATTAGTAACCCTCATCATGCTCGATGATGAGGACCATACTTGAATACAATACCTTTTTACACCCGTTTATCGGATTAGATAGCGTGACTTAGTGTTGTTTGGAGCCAGGTTAAATTATCGTCTATCACAAAGAGGTTCGTACCCTGGCATTGACTAGCGAGATAATTGGGTCACCCGGCCGATATGCATGGAATATCACTCGCCCCCTAGCTACGGTTTATGTAACCTCCCCACAATCACGCGTCACCAAAGCTCTGCTCAAAAAAAAACACCAGAAAGGCGGTTCAATAGAAGGAGACGCAGAGATGTAAACCAGATATATAAACAATGATACCGACCCGAAGGAATATATGAAAACCGCAAAAACCGCAACCACAGTCCGCAAACCGCGAGATAAAAAAGGGAAAAAATTGAAAAATTGCATGGTGATTTTCCGTCACATAATATTACTATTCTCTCTCTCTTTCTCTTTTCTCTCTCTTTCTTTCCTCATCGTAGTACATACACAACAAGAGAATAAAACAAACATCACAGCTCACACAGCAACAGCAACCACAGCAACAGAGAGCTCATAGCAAGCAAAACGGAACTGAAGAATAACAAAAAAGGTAAGAGTTCTCCTCCAATCCGTCCCCTTAAGCAAAGCAATTGATATCAAGCTACTGAACTGCACTGCACTGCACTACCGCTATGAATATAAAAAAGAAGTGATATATAAAAAATAAAAAAAATTTTAAAAAAACAAAAACAGTAACAGAACAGCAAAGGAAAAGGAAAAAGGAAAAAAAAGACTCCATCACTCCGCAACAACAAAAATGACACCCACACGCACCGCACCCTAACTAACTACCATACTGCACAAGACGTAGAAAGCAAAGAAAATGAAATCTGCCTTCCCCCCATCCCTCACGCCATACCCGCCCAATTTGCATGTGTCCGGAGTTCTCTTGTTTATGGTATAATTCAAACACGAATATAACTATAACGTACGGTATGATCGATTAGCCGCCCTTGAAGAAGCGACTGGCCTCCATGACACTCTCTTCATCTGCAGCGTAGTCCCAACCTATAATCTTGCTGTCCTGGCTACAGCAAATGATCCACCTAGCATCAAACTGGAGTTTGAAGACCCTGTGGGTTCCCGAGTTCCCGCCATGGCCCTGGGGAAGAACAGCTTGTGGGGGCTGTATCGGCCGCGGTGGCATGTGGTGATGATGTGCCGGTAGTAGTTGCGAGGCGGCCACGGCACCAGCGAGGCCTGCCTGGTTCCCAACCTGCTGGATCTGGTGCATGTGGACTGCGGCGGGCTGCATGCCTTGTTGCTGGTAAAGCGTGGCGATCTGAGCGGGTACGTTTGCGGGTGTTCCGGCACCTGCGGCTGCGGCGGAGCGGAGCGCGGCGGGGGACTGGCTCTGGTGGAGGGTGGCGCCGAAAACCCAGCGGTCTTCTTGGTCTTTGTGCCAGATGCGGACGGTCTCGTCGTAGGAGCCGGAAACAATCCTGTTTCTTGTGGCTTGCACGGTGCGGACGAGGGCGCCGTGGCCCTGGAGAGTGGCCATTTCGGCTTGGGTGTCGCAGTCGAAGACGCGGATGGTTTGGTCGGATGAGCCGGAGACGATGGTGCGGCCGTCGAATTGGATGCATGCAATACCTTTGGTATGGCCAACAAAGGTCTTTTCACAGGCCCCAGTGCGGAGATTCCATAGCTTGATAAGACGGTCTCCAGACGCTGATGCGATTTGGTCGCCGTGGAGTTGAATTGCATTTACGGCGGCTGCGTGGCCCGAGAGATTTTGGATCACAGTGTATGGGTGGAGAGTTCTGGGGCTGCCTTTGGGTGGCGCACGAGTGCTAGCGCCAAATGCACGGTTGGGATCACTGCTGCTGTATGGGTTTTGAAGATTGAGCCCAGAACCCATGGAGGGCTCCTGAACAGTCCAGGTCGCCCAGGTTGCTTGCTGGTTGTTACCGATATTATCTGGGTGGTGCGGATGGCTCCGAACATCGACAGCGTTGCTTGTACCGGTGGCCCATAGGACCTTTGATACCCACGGATAGTCCTTGTTTGTGGTCTCTAGCTGCTCTCGATTCCAGACCTTGACTAACTTGTCCTTGGAACATGTCACAAGCCATTTCTTCGAGAACTTCAAGTTGAGAACAGATTCTTGATGAGCTTTCTCGATAACCTTCAGTTTCTCGCCGGTAGGGAATTTCCAGATGATAACACTAGAGTCTGACGATCCAGTGACCAAAACTTGCTCCTCTTCGTCAAACTGGAGACACAGTACACTCCCGGTATGACCCTTCAATGGCTCTCCCACTAACCTCCGGGTACGCATGTTCCAAATTCTAACTGTTCGGTCACGCGACCCAGATACAAGGAAGTTGGGTGAGTATTGAATGGTGTAGATACATTCACCATGACCCTCGTGAGGGTAGTTGGGATGGGGGATCTGAAATGTTGTGAATCGGTTGTGCTGCCAATTATCCTCAAGTCTTCTACGATTCTTGTAGAGAAACGCCCAATTCAGCCGGGGGTGGTTATAACCAGGCATTGTCAATGTTGGTTGGATTGGAAGTGATGGCTCCTCATATGCCTGTGATGTTATAGGCCGACTCATTCCGGTTGGATACATGTCATCATCATCCGACATAGCAGCACTCGGGCCACCAAAAACTCCCGCCATCGATGACTGGCGGATAGTTCTTAAAGAATCGGCCGTATAAGGAAAGTATTCCGCATCCTGGTTCGGAGTGCCATATGCACCAGAGCTTCCTTGGGTGGAACTATCCCCACTGATATCCATAGGGCCACCAGACGAGTCCGATGCAGAGCTCTCACCTTGGCTTCCAGGGCCCGACCTAAATCGGTCTATGTTCCGCCTTGCTAGATCTCTAAGTTTCTTTTCCTCGTCTCTTTGCTCTTCGGCCTTCCGTTTAGCCGCTCCCTGCTGTTGCATTTCAGTCTCAAATAGTCGTACTTCGGCGCTGTTTTCCTCCCATCCGGCGCCGTGATACAGATCTCTCCAGAGCCTTGGCTCCATAGCGAATCGTCGCCATGTGCGCGAAGCCAGTGATGCATTGAGAAGCGAACGCGCAGGTAGGTACGATAGGATCTGAAGCGATAGCTCGGAAGGAAGCAGTTGGATAAAGTCGAGGTGGAGAATTGGGACCAATCTATCGACCAGCGATGCGATGTTGGATGTCGGTAGGGTGCGGACGAGTTTATAAGCGTATTCTAAAAGACCGACATTAGCGATCACGAACAGCTAATAGGTGATTCGAATCTAAAGAAGCATCTCTGAGTAAACCAAGATACGTGAAATATGATTATGAGCTGTCACTGCGGATGTATGCCACAAGAATGAGGGGAGGGGGACATGTCAGGCGGCAGGCCGTCAAAGAGCCTTCTCTTCCCCCAACTGAAACCACAACAAATCGTTACACACAACGGTCACAAGGCCCCTTCAACCAGCGATGAGAGCCATCAACCAAGATGGGAATTTATCGAGTATGTTGACGGATTGAAGGATAATCTCGGTGGTATTGTAGGAAATAGTGCATGTAATCTGCAGAAGAAGAGAAAAGCATCGAGCAAGGAAGTGTTTTTACAAACCTTCTCTTAACGCATCATCAAGTCCTGTCACCCAAGCCGGAATCTTCAGCTCTGCACTCTCTCTAATCGATCGCAAGTCCTCTCTCTGGTTCGGATCCTCGTACACACTGGGCGTCTCCTCACCGCTATAACCTTCATCCACCCGGAAGCTCTGCGACGTTCTCAGGGGCTGTTGCGTCGTCGTCGCTGTCTCTCCTGTCTGTGGTTGGCGCTGCGAAGCCACTCCCGCTGCTGCATTTGCGAGATCCTCCACGTTGAATATTGGTGGAGTCATGGAAGCCATGATTGGTGATGTTTACTTCCCTCTTGAGTTGTTGGGTATTGGAGCGAGATGGGCGAGGGGGGTGCGAAAAGGTTGATCGTAATGCTGGGTTTACCAAGAAGTGAGGAGTTGTGCTGTCCCAGAAAAAGGAAGCAGATAGGGGATATCTACTCGCGGATACCCCGTTGGATGCTGTTGCAAAAAGTCGTGTCAATAAGGATATAAGATAGGTACGATAAGACGGAGGTTGTTATGGAAGGGGGGGTGGGTGGGTTATGGAGGGAAAGAGAAAGTACATGTAGCTGAGACGATGTCGTGTGTTGTTGGAGTGGAAAGAAAGGTGGGAGAGGCAGGCGGACCGGGGGGGTGGGGGGGTGGGCATTAAGCACACTACTGCAAGTCTGCAACCCTCACTCCTCCTCCCTCCTCTAAACTTCCCGCTCACTCCACTCAACTGCATGTATGTACATACATCTTGTGCTCTCGCGCTATGTATTACCGGTGCGCCGCTGCTTTCCTGGAAAACCATCCAAGCTCCAGGGTGAAAGAAAAAAAATCCTCTGAACCTGTCAACTGGTAAAACAACAACAGACCTCTTTGAGATTCTGCTAGGCTATCCGCTGCTACTGCACGCACCGGATTGTTGCCCCTAACCCCCTCGATGATGATCAGATAGCTTCTCCGATCGGCATTGTTCTATTCGTCTTCATTCAGAACAAGGGCGTGTGGCCCTGTGTTGAATCCTAGTGGCCAATCTAAGGAGTTCTTTCTCTCTCTGTCTCCGACGCTCCCACTCCCCCTAAACTCCTATATTTCTACATGGTATTAATTTGACAGCTTCCCATAGAGTAGGTATACACCCGCTTCTAATACCTCCATTGTCTCCTCTACATGCTCTCTACATCCAGCAGCAGCAGTGCTCTAGCAAAAAAGCAAGTGGGCACATGCACAGTTCAATATGCCGACTGTCAACTCCACGACAAATCTACCGTCTCGCTTTCGCACAACCTCCTTCACCCTCCCCGCAGTCCCTCCCCTCCCTCCCTCCCTCCCTTCCTCCCTCCTAGCCCTATGTGCGCCGTGACATCTGACGTCTGTGCGAACACAATACCTGCCCCTCTTGGCGCCCCAAAGAGGAGACACTCGGCCCCTTTGAGTGCTAGCGCCATGCTCCTGCCACCTCGACAGCGTGCGAAGTGGGGATCTGAAGCTTCATTGTCGGTCTTCTACACTGTACCTGAGCCTCCTGAGCTCCTTCCTGAATACCACGCGACCTGCTTGCTCCACGCTACGATACGATACGATGGCGATACGATGCGATACGATGCGATTTCGCGGCCGCGCGATCGCCAACTAACTAACTAACTACCTACTCTAACTGCCTAGCAACCGCGAGAGAAGGATTCCGTACCTACATGGAACCTGCTATAAATTCCGTGATATCAAATATCAGGCTCCGAGGAGTAAGCACCTAGAATGATGGGTAAACCCAGTAGGGCATTAGTAGTACAAACAGGAGTGCAAAACACAAGGAGGCCCAAGACACAACCACATCTCTCCCCATCCATCCCTCCGTCCCTCCAATCCCTCCCTCCCGAGTGAAAAAATTTTGCCCCCTACTAGAGTGTAAACGTAGCAGGAACCTCCCGCCGCAATCTATCAGGCCCAGCATATCGGTTCAACACCAGATCTAGAAATTTCCTCTCTTTTCTGCCCTTCGCTCCCATTGATGAAAGCTATGGCCGCTCTACTACGTAGCCGATACACCCGTCAACTTGCACATTTTCATTTCTTTCCTGCGCGACGGGGAAGGTAATCCTATTTCGCAAATTGGCCCTATATACGTCGCTAACTCTCTGGCTAACTAAACCCGACTCCCACCCGCGGCGATCACCCACGCCCGTCTCGTCTCGTCTCGCTTCGAAACAAAACCGGGTTTGGGGGAAACACACACAGCAGTGACAGCACCCCTAACCCTGCATGCAGCCTGTATTCATCCGGTGTGTAATCGTGACAGCGGCTGACGTAGCGGCTAGTTGCGATGCGAATAGGTACATATCAGTACATATGGCGGAAGAGGAAAGGGAGGGAAGAAGGGGAATCGGATCGGGGGGCGATCTGAGAAGTTTCTAGTGGTTTTCAGAGTGCGATCGCGTGTGGATGCGTGTAGAAGTTTGGTTTGGTTTTAGGTGCCCCTGGCGGTACATAGGAGTGGTGGGGTGATGTGATGGGTGGTGATGGGTGGTGATGGGTGGTGATGGGTGGTGGTGGGGGTCATGTGTGGTCACTCGTTTGCTTCGAAAGAATGTAGTCACGTGATGTGGTTACTTTCAATTGGATTTGATAGATCCATCTAACCCGCAACTATCATACAGAATAGGCCAAGTACATAGACAACTTTGTTCTTCTATCTGAATAACTACTAGACATGTAGATGCTCTCTTATACACTGCTAGTGTCCTTAAGTGAAGGCTGCGATTGTAAAACGTACCGGTTAAAGTGATGCCGGACCTTTTAAACCTGAAAAAAAAGTTGGATCAAGACTAATCCTTAATCTCTGTCATTAGATTCTGTACCTATGCCTAATAAATTCTATAGTCTCTACTAGATCTGCGGGTGAACAAAATAAAACAACCCTTACCCTGAAAAATCAGTACCGTCGGCCAAAGCGACCAATACCCGCAAAGCAAATCAAAAAAAATATCGGACGAGATGGGTACCTTATTCAAGTGCGTCATCATCTTCAATATCTTATGGTTCTAGAGGGGGTCGAACCCTCGACCTTGGCGTTAACATTTAGACACTGTGAAGTGTCGAGATATTAGCACCACGCGCTAACTAACTGAGCTATGGAACCGTGATGGAGAAGGGCGGCAGCTAGGCTTTCGGCGCTACAGCGGAGCTTCAGGGTATACTTTGGCTGATTTCAATAGTCGTAGTTTTAGTGTTATTTTTTTTAGGATTTGTCATATGGTTGATATAGGGCTTAGGGGAGGAGTGAGTGATAACTCGTGATTCAATTTTTTTTAGTCTCACATGAAGTGGAAATTGGATTGGTATAAAACTAAGTTCTACTTCTACCTACCCCCCGCGGTGCTTCTTGAACGCATCGTAGATCTTCTTACCGTTGCGGACATCTTCCATGGCCTTTGCGTCTGCGGCTACCATCTTCGGGAGCATCCCTACTACTTGTACGAGGTGTGCGGCGGGGATGATTACTACCCCGTTCTTGCTATCGGCGAAGACGATGTCGCCCTATAGCACAGTAATCGATAGATTAGTATGGACATTGACGGGGTCTAGAGAGGGGGAGAGCATACACTAGCAACATCCACCCCCTGCACCGTAACCACATCATCCACCGCAACCGCCCTAGCCTCCGCGCCCGCCCCAACCGTACTAATCCCCTTCGAAAAGACCATCAGGTCATCCCGCTTCCCCAGCTCCTCCATGTCGCGCACCCGCCCGTCCACAATGATGGCGCGCGCCCCGAGCTGGTACATACGTTCCGCGACGATGCCGCCGACGACGGCGCACCGCTGGTCGGGGGGCTGGGAGACGACTACCGTGCACGAGGGAGTGATGAAGTCGGCGAAGTGGGTATCGGCGGGGAGGGAGCACTTGGGCTCGGTGGTGTCTTTGGGCGCGAAGAGGACGGTGGTTGCGACGGAGATGTTGATGCCGGGGGTGGAGGTGCGGGGTACTAGCGGGTGTTAGTGGGGCGGTGTGGAGGGGGGGGGTGGGTAGGAGTTTTTTTTTTTTTGGGGGGGGGGGGGTTACGGATGTCGACGAGGAAGCCGGCGTTGGGGACTTTGAGCTTGAGGAGGGCGTCGGATATCTGGTGGGTGTTAGAGTTTCGGGTGTGTGTGTGTTTGGAGGAGTGGAGAGCTAGCTAACGCACATCACAGGCGGTGTATTGCTTGAGCGCATCCATCAGAGCTTCCTTATCGCCCATTTTGTGGTAATTCCTGTGGTGGTGGTGGTCAGGTGTGAATATTGTCTCTGTAGGTAAGGTTCAATAGTAAGGTAAGGTTGTGGATTCAATTGTAAGGTTATGGATTCAACTGTGAGGTTGTGGATATTTCAATTGTAAGGTTGAGGCTGTGGATTCGATGCCTGAGCTCTCACATGCTAAATAGCTACATGTAGGGCTGACATGACAGATCCCGGGCTGTGAGGTGAATCCGGGATTGCGGCTCAGTGGCACATTTAGCCGAGCTTAACGAGCTGGGACCGGCTAGCTAGCTAGCTAGCGTGGTGCGTCACACGGAATCACTCAGGGCGCGAGTGAGGGGCAGGCGGTGGTCCCTGTTGGCCCGCAACAAATGTGTTTGGGTGTTTTGTCTCAAGACTTGACGGTTGTGCGAGTGATGTTGATGTCACGCTTCGTGTATTATAGATATCTGTAAACGTGCGCGTCAACTGGTCAATTATCAGTATTAGAGCACGTTTAAACAGAAGCGTCATGCACGGCCATTACTCATTCTGAACACTTTGGCTCCCTTTCCCTCTCCGTTGACGTGCTGTGATCTGATTCCATTATAAATAAGCAGCTCACCCTCTCTCTCCCTAGATTCCCCATAAATCCTCATATCGACCTTTCTTGATCAGAGCATCGATTATACTAGTACTGAAAACGCCTCTCGACACCACGCCGTGCTTCCCTCTTCGGATTAGGAACGGTACATTGAGATATGTATGGCCCTAAGTTCATGATCAATTAAAGTGTCCTTATACATATGTACTTCAAAAATGTATGGTCTTTGACGGTTGATGATGCTGTTGTCGGATCGGTGCGCTGTACTCGCTATCGCTTTCTGTCAGGAGCTGGGCTTCCGCTTGTTTGTTGCATTCTCCCTTCTCCCCATGAGCGTGTGAACGGTATCGGAGCGGTGTCGGTTTAGTTTTCTTAAGGAAAATATTTTCCTGCTTCCGGCAGGACGTTAGATTCTAATAATCTGGCCAAGTTCGTTGTGTAAGTCACTCAATGGTGTTTATCGTTAACTGATATTTTATTACACAGAGAAAGGGACAAGCGATTGTACTAGGAAGTCTTTGAAAATTATTGGCGCGACTTCCTTGGACCGTGTGTTTGGCTGGAGTCAAACCAGCCCCCCAGAATCTTGTGGAATATCTCTGGGCTGCGCATGAGTCTCTGTAGTCTCGCTCAGTTGATAAAGTTTCTTGTTAGGGAGCATTCAGCGGAGGAGTTGAAAGAGCAAACGGATTTTTAAAGAAGGAAACTGTTTCTAGACTCATTCTAGATGAATGAATTAAAACCGTTTTCTTGTTTCTGGTCATTGATTGAATTGACCTGGCCACCATTTCCCACGGTGGATATAGCAGCTTAAAGTTTTGCTCGAGTGAACTCGTAGTGTTCGAATTATTTAATCTCGGGAAATGGATATCTCTTCGACATATATCGGATCCGGCGATTATCACACCATATCATGAGATGGGTCAAATCCAGGTTTCTCAGAAGATCTTATAGTAGATTGGAGGACCCTTCATGGCTATCGTGACTCTATCACCCGGCCAGGCTGTATTTACATGTCCTAGACTGTCTAAAGTATCCAAGCATATGTGTTTCTCAAAATTATGGAGAGAAAAGTTAACTCCGAGAAAATGACCAACCCTCCTACCTAATTGAAGTCGGAAGAAGCCAACAATCCGTCAATTTGCCACAGACAGCCTTTCTGGGTTAGATAACTGTCCATCAATCGTTCCAAAGTTTTATTTCACCCAAAACGGCCACAGGGAAGCCATCTAGAATTGTCTGAATCAGGTCGTATTAACGGTGTTACAATACAAAACAAATTCTCCCGGGCTAAACTAATGTTTATCATATCCTCTCCATGGTGTTCCTTACTACCAGACTTTACATCGCTACAGATCCTTCTAGTCGATGTTCACTAACTAAGTAGTAGTCGGGATCAAAGGAGTCGTCGACATCAAGAGCGGCAACTAAATCCAAATGATAGCCAAGATTTCCATGTCTCAACCGGTTTCCCCTATTTAGGCGATCAAACTCTTTATGTTCCATTTCGACGTTGACAGGTTTCTATTGGCTAACAGCAACTAGAATCAGTCACCAATCTAGTCAGTGGTAGCCGGTGTCTGTACGCTTTCGTCCGACGGTTTATTCCGCGCTGCGTGCCTGCATGCATGGGGAGGACAAGACGTCTCACCTAGCCCGTAGATGACAACTGACAACTCAAGCCCCAACACGCGCGTTACCCTGGGAACGCTCAATGATAATGGAGTAATTAGCCATTGATAGGCCCGGGTGGGCTAGCCGCAAGGCACCAAAGCTTCTTTTGACGTCGCTTGTTGGTGGGTTGTTGGTATAATAGTGTGGAGTTATGCATATCTGGGGGGGTAGGGGTTCGTTGAGATCTCAGGGAGGACAACACCGGATCTGGTATGTATTTTTTTTTCTTTCTTGATTGCTTGGTTTGCCCCTGAGTGATGGTCATGAAATTCAATGAGAAAAAAGAAAAAGAAGATGAAGGGGAGAGAGTGACGGACTGGAATTGGTAACGTTGGAGCGTAGACGTCATAAGGAAGTGTTCATTGCTGTTATGCGTTCAGTTCTGTCTCAATGGTACTCAATGGAACGGTCTGTGAAATTTCGATGTGCGCTCATGAAGATTGAGTGATATCATGATATCAAGCCTACTAAGGTTCTAGAGAGTACGTACCTAGAGTATGGTGTTGCAATGAGGTACAGACGGAGGTTGCGTTACCAGTTGGGCATGGCGGGTTAGGTGTACTGTGTGTGACAGACAGCTACTCTGCTGTAGTTTGGTAGTTTGTTGCCTAATTTGGCGGGAGGACGGGTCGGGGGAGACGATCTTATAGCTGCTTTCGTACAGAGACCAGTACTCTACTAGGCTTGCTTTTGAAAACAACGTCAATTGCATCCAGAGTCTCTGTGTAGCTATCTAGAATTATTCACTCCCCATCTACTCCACGATATAGAAACATTGCCCTAGGAACGGACAACGCCCAAGAGCCTGGGCCAGGGCTCAGGTTTCGTCAATATCAAACAAACTAAACAATTCACCGAGAGATGAGACGGACGCCTCCTCTTGTTTGCCCCGTCACCACCCCCCCCGCATTTGTTCGGGGTGGGATGTCTTGGTGGCTCGGACGGCGGTCGGAAGATCTTCAGGAGGCCCGTATTCTTCTCTGGGCAATTGGTGTGAATTGTGAGGATAGATGTTGGGGGATTGGGGAGGTGAGTATTCTTTGCTAGGTGAATTGAATTGAGAATTAGAGCTTTACGTGGGCTGGTGGTAACCGCAAAGTAGGAATTATCTTAGGAGTGGAGTTCTGTACGTATTCTTCTGCCCGTATGTCTCTACCGGAACATAGAGTACCTACTCTAGGCACATGCGTACTCTGAGATTTCCTACATATTCTGAGATGTTCTACATCTTCGTTGGTCTTGCGCTACTTCCTGCTTTGCTTGGCCCCCGGCCACCCGGGCAGTGAATCATCAGAAGCACCACGACGACCACCGCCAATCGCCGTCTGCAGCGCACAGAAGAATTTCATTGCGATGTGCAATACCCACAAGTACAGTCGCACCTCGTTATGTCGTTAGCGTATTCTGGGAGCCAAACCCCTACGAGATAGAAAGTATACGAGACAGCAAATAGTTTTTGGTGGAGAAGGGCAGTACCTGTCCCGCAAATCCGTACGAGACAGCAAGAGATCCGAGATATCGAATTACGAGATAGCGAGGTGCGGCTGTACCTACAACTTTATTTTCTTCTTCCACCTCCTCCACCTCCTCCATCTCTCGGGGCCAACAGCTCAGTTCGGAAAAGTAGAGCTGCACCCCACGCACCAGGCTAGAAGCGGGCCCAATTGCAAGTGCTGGCAAGAGACCTCAATAGGTGTATAAAGCAGCCCCCCAATCCCACCTCCTCAGCAGTATCATCAGCATCATCATCACACAGTCTTTCGACATTACCTCTTACTCTACACAAAATATTTACTTGTTTACGGGTTAATACTTTTTTTATTTGCGAACACCTTACTTAATACCTAATCCACAATGCACACCTCAGGCATGAAGCTCACCACCCTCTTCCTCTCCCTTATGCTCGCCAGCAGCGCCGTCGGTGCCCCCGTGCCCCCCCCAAAGGGTGTTCCTGCCGTCAACATGCCTACAGTCGGTAGTGGTGTTATCGAGGACAACACGCCAGCTGGTACTATGGACAAGGTCAATGATGGCCTGAAGGGGAATGTAAAACCGCCACAGACAAAGGCCGACCCCGTTGCCGACGCAACTGACGCCGCGGCGGAGGGCAATGCTGAACCTGCGAAGGGACTTCATTCCCGCCAAGAACCTGATGTCGCCGCCCTTCTCGACGCCCTCCTCGGCGGCTCCGACCCCACCAGCGGCCTCACTGGCGGTGCTGGCAGTTCCAACCCCACCAGCGGCCTCACTGGCGGTGCCGGCAGTTCCAACCCCACCAGCGGCCTCACTGGCGGTGCCGGCAATTCCAACCTCACCAGCGGCCTCACCGGCAAGCGCTCCGCTGGTCCTCCATCGATTGATCACACAGGCATAAGTCACGAGATTAACCAGGCCACTTCTCGCGCCAGCGGCAATTCCAAGCGCTCACCTGATGGTCTTATCCCTGGTGTTAATACTCTGGATAACTCTCGGGTCGGTGGTGACAAGGTGAAAGACGTTGTTGATGGGAAGACAGCACCGCTGTCCGGCACGACTGGCACTCTCGGGACACGCGGGGAGAAGAAGAAGTGTGTGAATGGCCTTGACTTGACGCACGATGCCATCCCGTGTATGTCAGACAATGTTGCTGGAGGGGTCGATCCCAACAGTGTCAACGATCTTAACGGTGCCACGAAGGGTGCCACAGCTGGGAAGACGGGGGCGCCCAAGACGGAGGCACCCAAGGCTGGCACTGAAACGGTCACTGGCTCTGATTTGGGCTCTGAGTTTGTGCCTTCTGCGGATAGTGTGACTGCTTCTCCTACAGACACGAAGACTCCCACGACAGGCGATGTTAAGGCTCCCACGACGGGCGATGTTAAGGCTCCCACGACGGGCGATGTTAAGGCTCCCACGACGGGCGATATTACCGGCGCGGATGCTGTTTCTGGCTTGACATCGGGTTTTGTCCCCCGTGGTGTTGATGAGACAGTTAAGAAGGTTAATGGAGCTGCCGCCGATCTCAAGAAGACCACTGGTACTGGTGCTGATGTAGCCTCGGTTGATACCCCTCTCGGTGCCAAGACGGTTCCCGTCTAGAGCTGCGGTTGTAGGATGAATTGTTTATGATGGATGTATGATCATGTAATATTTGGACTCTTGTGAACTGGGCAATAACGGGGCAATAACAGGAAGTGGGAAAGCGTCCGGGGAGGGGGGGGGGGATACTTGTAGTATGGAGTGGAAAAATTGTAATAGTAATAATACATGTTGTTGTTTTTCGCTGTAAAGAATTGGTCCGTTTTTTCGTGAGGCGATGATATTGCTGTGAGCTTTCTCTCTGTGCCGATGAGTGATAAACTGTGATTAACTCAAATTCCTAGGGATTTTCGAGCTCTCTTTGATTGGCGAACGTACTACAGTAAGGGTCACGCTCCATAGGTCAAGCGATCGCTGCCCAAGAAGTGCTCTCACATCTCAATGCTTCCCGCCGCAGTTCTAGTCGCATTTGTCGCATTTGTCGCAACTGTCGCAACTGTCGTAGTTTTCGCAGATATGTCGTCGTAGTAGGGCAGGGTTCATGCCTAGTAGCGTTCCACAACCCTAGCCTGATGCGTCATAACTAAAATATTCACTGGCTAAGTATTAGAATAACAACGGGATATCATGTGGCCCGGTTGGTCTAGTGGTATGATTGTCGCTTCGGGTTTCTCCCCGGGAATTCCATTTCTCAATTGTGACAGGTCTCCGGTTCGATCCCGGAATCGGGCCCACTTCTTTTTTATTTTTTGATGACTTCTTTGCGAGTTGGGATTGAGCGTGAGAGATGCGCGCCGTGGATCAGGTGGGAGGGAGACGGTGGAAGGGGTTTTTGAGACTCTGAGGGGGTGGAAGGCGTTTTGGAGACTCTGAGGGGTGGGAGCGGGAGTGGGCATGGCGAGCGTTTTGGTGAAAAGGGAGGTGGGAGGAGGTGGAGGTGGGAGGTGGGAGGTGGGCTTACTAAGTAGCTTGCTTGTTTGGATGAGTTTGGCCTCACGACTGCAAGAGGGCTTACACAGACGACTCTTGACCACGTATATGAAAATGACACTTCCCCTTGTCGGGTGGGGGATCGTAAAGTTTAAAAACGCCTTCGTCACCAGCGATCTGATAAGATAACGGAACCCCGAATGGTCTATGGCGCCATAGACCATTCGGGCGCCGTATTGAGCGATACTTTATTCTAACCCTAACCACGATCTGATAAGATAGCGGAACACCGAATGGTCTCTGGTGCAATTTACGTTGAAATTAAGCTTCCCCTATCTGAAACTCCCCCACCACCCACCACCCATATTACTCCTCCACCACTACTTCATAGTAGCTAGGAGATTACAAACGGAGATAAGTAGCACGTCAGCAACGGTCGTCCCCCTCCCTCCCTCCCTCCCTCCCTCAATCTTAATCTCCATGCCCTTATTTCCCTCCACTGCCAAGCCGGATACGGCAAGCATCGATCAGATAAGACACGCCTGGGGTCTGTATTCGTTCGCTCGGTATTCGGCCGATACTTGCCTTGCGTGTGCGTGTAGGCAGACGTATGTATGTTGTAGGCTGAAATCAAGAATGGAGGGAGGTAGAGGGGTGTAGGTATTAGAAGGGGATTGTGAATGCTACATGCTCACATAAGTAATACTGTGTGTAGCTGGGTGAGGGAGCTGAGCAAGTCAGTCATAATCCTCTAGCCGCGTAAGCATCACTAATTGCGTTCTGGGAGCTGCCAAGGCGCTCAGGGGGGTGGGGGGGAAAGCTGCAAGCCAGAGAGAGACTCGGAGGGAAAGGGAAAGGGAAAGGAGGGAGGGAAAGGGGACTGGCCAGAGTGTACTTCTACTGATGTATCTGCATTTCCAACTGATTGATAAACGGCGGATAGCACAGCACACTCACCCGGGCACTTGTCAGTCAGTCAGTCAGTCAGTCAGTCAGTCAGTCAGTCAGTCAGTCAGTCGGTCGGTCAGTCAGTCAGTCAGTCATTCGGTCAGGCACCCAAGCACCCAGGCACCCAGGCAAATAGAAAAATAGCACCCACAACCGGGTAACGATCCCCCAGCGAAAAAGAAACATAGAAAAAGCTTGTTACTTTTCTCCCCTCGTCACCTTTTCTTCAATCAGATAAAGCGATCCCTCCCCTTTCCAACGATCAGATAACGAAACAACCCACCCACCCACCCAACCCAAACCCAACCCAAACCCAAGCCCAAGCCCATCCCGACAACCAAGATGCCATTCGCCGGCCTGCTTCGACGGGGAACATCCTTCTTCAGCGCCGCCGCCACAAAGGTCGACACCAGCGACGATGCTGGCAAGGTGACCAAGGACACGCTGTTCCCGCTCGTCACCTGCGAGCACGACAAGACGGACGCCGCCGCCGAGGAGTGCGACCACGACTGCGCGGCGTGTCCGCAGGTGGCGCCCGACGGCACGAGCGGGTATGGGAAGGCGTTCGACAAGATCGGCGTCGACCATGACGAGGAGCTGTGGGGCGGCGTCAAGAAGTACTCGAGGCATGTCATTGTCGCGACGGGCGAGACGGACTGGATCAGGGATGTGGACGAGATTCCGGGGAGCGTGATGCGGGCGCTGAAGGAGAGGGTGAGGAAGGGGGCGGTTGAGGACAAGGACGGGGTAATTATCTCTATTGGCTTCTTCGTGAAATAGTTTAACAGATGGATCAGTAATGCTAATCAATCAATCAATCGTGAGCAGAAACTCATGGTCTCCGCATCCAACATGCCGCCCCCCGACCACCACCACCACCACCACCACCACCACCACCACGCAGACACCACCAAGCCCCAACCCACATCCGTCATCCTCCTCCCCTCCTGGACCCTCATCGAGAACGTCACCCCCGCCACCACCCCCGAGCTCGTCTCCCGCTTCATCAACCCCTCCCCCACCAACCTGGACCCCCTGGTCCCCATCCCGTCCTCCCCCGCTCCCCCCTCCCCCGCCCTCTCCACCCTCTCCCCGCCCCTCGACGAACCCACCCGCCCCCGCTCCCCCCTCACCCTCCAGATCCCCACCTCCACCAACCCCACCTTCTCCGCCGGCTCCCCCACCCGCGCCCCCGGAAGCCCGCTCATGTCCCCCTCAACCCCCATCGACACGTCCACCCTCCAGAACCTCTCCCTCTCCGACGTCCCCTACTCGTGCGACAGCACCGTCACGGCCTCCCACTACCCGCACGACACGCTCATCCTCCTGTGCTCGCACAAGCGCCGCGACGCCCGCTGCGGCATCAGCGCGCCCATCCTGCGCAAGGAGTTTGAGCGGCACCTGCGGCCGCTGGGGCTGTGGCGCGATATGGCCGACATGCGGCCCGGCGGCGTCAAGGTGCTGTTTATTAACCATGTGGGCGGGCACAAGTTTTCGGCGAATGTGATTGTGTATCGCAAGGGCGGGGTGGAGATGGAGGGGGGAGTGGGGGAGAAGGGCGTGGACGGGGAGGCGGGGAAGGGGAAGGGGGAGGTTGTGCAGGGGGTGTGGCTGGCGAAGGTGACGCCCAGGCATGTTGAGGGGATTGTGAGGTATACGGTGATGGAGGGGAAGGTGTGTGATAGTGGGCTGATTAGGGCGGGGTTTGATAGGAGGACGGGGCTGAGTAGTTGGTAGTTAGTGGTGGTGGGTTTTTTTTCTTTTCTTGCTGCTTTTTTTTATTAACTGCGTTTTTTTTTTTTTTTTGTTGTTGTTCGTGCTTGTCGCGTAGATCTAGAGTTAGGTAGATATGGCTAGACGATGTGAGCTGTGGCAATATACCGAGCTAAATAAATACCAAGTAGATTCGAGGTGTTTGTAAATGGCTGTGAGTTGGAAGTAGTTGTGGCTTTGTAAAAATTGGCTGTGAGGATATTATGGCTATGGCAATTTGATGTTTGTAGATTCTTTTAGAACATTAGCAGAGCATTCTCTTTCCAGCAGCGTACTAGGAATAGTTCATTAGAGGAGAGAAGTCTATCTTTCTGCCTTAGTTTTCGGCCTATTGCGCCGAAACGTTTTTCCAGCACTCGCTCTCGTTCGTTTGATGCGTAGCGCCGCCCGAAACCGAGTGACGAAAACCGAGTGACACCCCATGTGGATGACTCAACCTCAACGCCACCACCGGGTTGTGTGCTTCAAGTAAGACAAAAACGCACGCATAACAATCCGTTGTGGTGTAATGGTTAGCATCAGTCGCTCTCACCGACTAGATCGGGGTTCAATTCCCCGCAACGGAAACAAGTTGTTTCTTTTTTCATTCCTAGGCATTTGGGCTTTGGCGCCTTGGGTTTTAGGTGACCGTGGTAGTAAAGGTTCATAGGGAAATGGGTTTTCTTGCTGTTTCTCATAAAAACAGCTCTGCTGCATCCCCCCCCCCCACCGCGCACACCCCACCCTCCGTTCACTACATGTAATCACAAACCTCAAATTTTATAAACTGAATTCCCTGCGCATAATCCGTTGTGGTGTAATGGTTAGCATCAGTCGCTCTCATCAAGAACCGACTAGATCGGGGTTCAATTCCCCGCAACGGAAGACTTCATTTTTTCTTGCTGGCACCATAACGGCCATCTTGCCTTGGCGACAGAAGTAGGACCCGGGCCTGGCGCCATAACCAACTCGGCCATCTTGCCTTGGCGTCTGCGGCTCCAAAGGGCACTTGGCGGTGTTTGATAATGTGGGTTAGGGTTTGTTGGAGGTTAGTATTGGTTTTATGGGTTAGGGTTTGGTTAACACTGTGGTTAATGAGAGGAGATAAGGCGGCTTGCTGTAGAAAGCAGTTACGAGTACGTGTCGCTTTAGGTTGTTCGTCTGTTTGACTTGGGTGGTGCTGATGTGTGGAAAGAGCCTGTTGCCCCTGACTCCCCCCTGAGCTCTAGATGTCTTTATTTTCGAGAAGAACTCTAATGAAATTAGATGAACTTTCTGGATATAAATCAAATACGTTGTCCACCTGCCGCCTAGATACTTGTACTAACACAGTTTTCTACATGTACTGGTAATGAAGGTAAGCGGAATCAATGGAGGAAACGTAGCTAAAGGCGGGCAGGATTACGTGTCCGGAAGAGACAACTTATAGCTTGGATTCTCGCTTCATCTTGTAATCTCTCCATCAAAAGAACTACTTTATTGGTCCAACGTTCCGGTTATTCATGTTCGTATAAGTTTGTCGAGAAGGATCGTTTCCAACAACGTACCACAATACCCGTAAGTATGTACAAAACCCACCAAAATTTGGTCCACATGACTTTCACAACTGCAATCTCAGGGACTGACTGACTGATCGATTGATTAATTGATTGTACTCACAAGGACCGTAAATATGCCACCCAAGTAAGTAGCCTCGGCACACGTGAGTGGGCAAGCGCTAATCTGCTGCAAAGACCCCGTCATGAGCGCTCACTCGACGCACGTGAAATATTCATTGGACAATATTACCACCGGTCTTATTAATCTATTAGTAGTCTTACGTATGTACTAACTTGGCCTCTGCTATTGCTACTACTCAATTGTTTAATATATATATAGTATATAGTTCGATCCGGATCTGCACAGTTAATATATATCAACTGCATGGATTAGGATGTCTCGGCCTTGCAAACACCAACCGTTGGGGTCCGTGATACCTAGCGAGCTACACTCTTTCCATGAATCCAGCGGCTCCAGTAGAAACCAACTAATAGGCCGGGCCCGACTATGAACGTGTTTTCCCTGGGTTAATATAAAATTTCAAAACCAGGACGTTAGTAGTTACCTTCCTAAGGAGATAGACAATTCACCTCGGAAGATATTAGAGCGACTCGATAGTCTACGACCGACTATGTACGTAGGCATCTTCATCACTCTCTCGCACATGTAGACGCACCACCGGAAAGGTACCGAATTAAGCATATCACCGTTGGTTTTGACCCTGGCCACCTTCTGTTTCCGGGTCTCTTGCCAGGGGTGGGGTAATATAAAATGCTGATATAGTAATATTCTAGCCTTATATCAACACTTTACCCCCAATGCCCAATGATTGTATGCCTGTGCCATACATGCCTTTAGTTTTCGGAATTCGGAGTGGTGCCCGAGGAGGAGGAGAAGGTGCATCTGAGATCTTCAGGAACTGATATAAACCGCATGAGAAGTCCACAGGTACAGCTCGTCCCAACTAACTGCAAGCCAAGCAAGATGTTCCAGTCTCGATACCAATTCCTAGGCTCCAGCCTACTGCTGCTGAACTCGATTCTCGGTGCCAGTGCTACCACTGGTTCATTGAAGGTTCTGACCTACAATGTCGCCGGCCTACCCTGTAAGTCTCCACCGCGCCCTTATCCGTGAAAACCAGACGATACTGATCATTACCCCAGCCGCTCTGTCATCTTCCGACCCCGTGGAAAACACGCCATACATCTCCGCCCGCCTCTCCCCATACGCCATAATCAATGTGCAGGAAGACTTCAACTCCCATGCCGCGCTCTATGCTTCCGACAGCCACGCTTACCGCACCCCCACCTCCGGCGGCGTTCCCTTCGGCGACGGCCTCAACACCCTCTCCGACTTCCCTTACATTGACTTCACCCGCACGGCCTGGGACGACTGCAACCTCAACTCCGGCGACTGCCTCACCCCCAAAGGTTTCAGCGCCATGCGTGTCGAGATCGCTGCAGGCATCTGGATAGACGTCTACAACCTCCACACCGACGCCGGCGGCGAAAGCGGTGACCTCTCAGCGCGCGCCGGGAACGTTGCCCAGATTGTTGACTACATCAACTCCTTCTCTGCAGGCATGCCAGTGGTGCTCATGGGCGACACCAACATGCGCTACACCACGACAGGCGACAACATCCGCGCTCTCGTTTCCGGCGGCGGCTTCACCGACGCATGGGTCTCTGGCACGCGGGGCGGTACCCCACCGGCACTGGGTACTGATGCACTGACGTGCGCTTTCCCGTTCGCGGACACGGTCACGGATCAAGCTACGATGCTGAGTTGCGAGGTCGTTGATAAGATCCTGTTCCGCAGCTCGCCGGTGCTGACGCTGTCGTTGGGGAGTATCACGAATGAGCACCGGAGCTTCCTGCACCCCACGGATGGCGGCCCACTGAGTGATCATTACCCGCTCTCTGCGACATTCACATATTCGACCACTGGCCTGCGGTTGTCGGAGGTTGTGGGAGGCCCGCATGGGGACTACTTTAACGACGCTACGGGGCTCACTAGTACGCCTACTATTACGACCCTGAAGCTTGCCGGCGGCGAGAGGGTCGATAGTGTTAGCTCTACCTGGTCCACGGGAACAGTACTGGCTCACGGGGGCAGCGGCGGGACAGCGAGTAGTATTACGTTGGCTAGCGGGGAGACGCTGGTGGAGGTGGAGGCGTGCCAGGGCGAGAAGGACGGGAATACGAGGGTGTTTTACCTCCGTGTCAAGACGAGCGCTGGAAGGGAACTGGCGGTGGGCAAGACGACGAGTACGTGTACGGTTATGAGCCCGCCCGAGACGGGGATGAGGGTTGTGGGCTTCTGGGGGAGGGATGGTGACGAGATTGATAGGCTGGGTGTGGTGTGGGGGAAGTAGAGTAGGTGGCGGGTGTAAATACTTTGGCCTGAGATGTAGTTATCGTATTTTTTATAGCTGTTTTCTGTTTTCTGTTTTTGACACATGGAGTGGTTGTATGTATGTTGATGGTTGAGAAATTGCTAAGCTTATTTGTGTCGAGTGAGCTCTCATGACTGAGAACACAAATAACCGGTCGAGTTATCTCTCATGATGGAAAAGAATAATTAAAATTCATCCTATTTGGAAACAAGGTTCCTCGAATACCACCAGCCAGAGCTTCACATAACACCTGGACTCAAGTGAATAATGGATGATAATAGCTGATTATGATAATCATTCAAGACAAGCCCCACTCTACGCCCGCGCAGTCCGTCACAGGCACACCCCCCGCTTCAATATCACCACCACACCATAAATATCCCAAAAAAACCTACTACATCATTCGCCAACCCCATAGGCAAGCCCGGTAGCGAAGGTGATATAAACACACTCAAGCCGAGAAACCCAATCTCGCCCCGTTTACCACCTATTACCACTCCACGACCATTGACGAAAGAACACATCCTCTTATCTCTTTTCCAGACTATTCTCCCACAGATACTAGGCGCAGGTGGTGTAGTTAGTAGCGACAGCAAAAGCCCTTCGTCATAATCTTGTTTTTTAGTGCTCCGGGAGTGATGTGCGTACAGGGTTAGGGTTTCGCGTGTTGGTTGTGAATAAAAATTATATTATGCCAACTATCTGGGCGTTATATAGAACATCTAGTAGCGTGGTTTTATGTTTTTGGGAGTCTTGTAAGACTATATTCCTGGTGTCAGTGCTGGTGATTGGTATGGCCTTGCGGGTCAGCTGCTCCGATCAATTGATCGTCCACCTTCACGGGTAAGGTATTGGGCTTGAGATGTAAAAAGAGCGATTGGTATGTGTTACCCAGACAGATAGATGTATCTAGTACTCTTCGAGTGTAAGTAAGGTAGTCATGGAAGCCGGTGCGGCTAGTTCGTTCTAGTGGTTCTTCATGGAGGTTTTATAAAGGCGAGAGAGAGGCAGAGTCATTACTTCCTAGATCAATTACTACAGAATCATTCTCTGATCCATTCTCAAGTGTAATATATGTTAGCAAGCAGCCTCTTAATAATACCCGTGTGTTTTCAATTGATAATCCGGGCGGGAATCAGGTCAAGAAATCACGATCATTGGCACCAATGATATCTATCTACGGAACCTACAGCCCTATACACCCACCCCCACCCCCACCCCCACACACCCTTCTCCGAAGCACAGCTACTTCATCCCCTCCTTCGCCCACCGCTCACAGATCCTCCTCGCCCGTCCCTCCACCCACCTACTATTCCCCCAGCACCCCCACCCGGCCATAAACCTCATCCAATCCACCAACGCGCACTCCCACTGCCCCACCAGATCCTCCCACATATACCCCTCCACCCCATTTCCCGACCTCCCCAACGCCGCCACCAACTCGTCATAATAAACCCTCAACAGCGCCTCCTCCCCGCCCCCCTCCAAGTCCCGCGCATTCACCGACGTCCCCAGGAAATACGCGAGATCCTGCACCCCGAGCCCTACACCCACGTACTGGAAATCATACAGCGCGCACGCCACCTCGCCCCCCACCCCAGGCGGCGCAAACACAATGTTAGCGGCCTTACAGTCCCCGTGAATCAACGTCGACCCAAGATCACCAGGGCGGACACGCAGTCGCTCCGCGACTATCTGGACATGCGGCAGCAGGAACGCATAGTCGCCGGGGTCGTCGGTGAAGCTCTCCATCTCCTCCACGCGGGTGTCCAGATACCAGTATCCGCCTCGCTGCCACACGCCCTGCGCCGTGTCGGGCGCGGCGGCCTGCAGGGGCGGGGGGATGAGGGGCACCGGCTCGTGGTTCCAGTATGTAGCGTGGAAGTTTGCTAGCCAGCGTAGGACGGCGGCGGTGTGGGCGGGCGAGTAGCGGTGCGAGTAGGAGAGCGAGTAGGCGGGGGTGAGGTCGTCGAGGAGGAGGGTGGTGTCTGCGTAGGCGGGGGAGACGGGGTGCGGGGTTGCGATGGGCGAGTGCGGGGTGAGGTGGTGGGAGAGGTGTGTGTAGAAGTAGCGCTCGGCGCGGTAGGAGAGGAGCTTGCGGATGTGGGATTCGGAGGCGGTGCGGGGGGTTGGTGGTGGTGGCTGGATCAGCTTGAGGATTAGAGGGGGGTGCGAGGGGAAGGTGAGGCGGTAGATGTGGCCGTAGTTGGACCAGAGAGAGGTGATGTGGGTGTGCGAGGAGGGCTTGAGAGAGGGCGGGAGGATTTCAGTGAATCTGGGGGCGGGCATGGTGGCTGTGGCTGTGGATGTGGTTGTGGTTGTGGTGGAGAGATATAGTATGTGGTTGCGGGGAAGGTGTGGATGTGGAACCTGCAGCTGGGCGTCCCTGCATCTCGCGTGATGTGCAGATCAAGGAGTAGCTAAACCTCCCAAGTAAATTGTAAATGGCATAAACCTTCAGCTTAATAACAACTGGTAAGAGGTAAATCATTGCAAAGGACGGAGACTCCTTAGCTATTTAACTGATCCACAACAAAGACAGGTATATATCGTCTTAGATATTGTCTCACTACGACGGACCACTGCCGTTGCTGTCCTTTATCGCCTTTATCGACACAGTTCACTTCAGAAATGCACGCTTGCACGCTAATTGGTTTCGACCCAAATTTGCATTCTCTACTAGAATGTAATGTAGCTACTTAGTACAACCAATGAGTTATCAACCAAATCAATCATATGTAGCTACTTAGTACACTTAACTATCTGACGAGTGATGGACCGTGACCCCAACCCGCTGGCTAAAACAGCACACCTTTTTTTCTTGATCCTCCCCCCCCCCTTTTTTCTTTTCCAGAACTTAGACACAGCTGGTTACTCGGCCCTAAAGCCTTTTCCAGCCGATGTTCTTGCCCTTCTTTCCCTTCTTGCCCTTGTTCTTGCCCTTATTCGCGTTCGCTCCCTGCTTTGGCGCCTCCTGCTTAGGAGGGTTTTGAACCTGTTCCTGTTCCTGAACCGCAGTGGCCGCAGTGGCCGCAGTTGTCGCCTTTTTCTTCCCCGCTCCGACACCCTGCTTCTTACCCATTTCCTCCCCAAACTCAGAATCAGATTCGGTCTGTTCGTCGTCCGCCTGCTCGGGTTTCTCCATGATAAACTCCACTCCGTCCTCGACCACGGTGAATCTCCTCGCCCTTGAACCCATATCCATGCGAGTATCTCTAGCCAGTCCAGGCCTTGTATCGGCCTGAGGCACGGCGAGATAGTTTGACTTAGGTATGGCGAGCTGATAGTTTGGCTTAGGTACGGCGAGCTGATTGTTTGACTTAGGTACAGCGAGCTGATTGTTTGCTTCAGGTACAGCAAGATTGTTTGCCTTAGGCACGGAAAGATCGTTTGCTTTAGGAACGGCGAGATTGTTTGCCTTAGGTACGGCGAGCTGATTGTTTACCTTAGGAACAGCGGGATTATTTACCTTAGGTACGGCGAGCTGATTGTTCGCCTTAGGAACGGCGATATTGCCCGCCTCGGTATTCTTCTTGATGATGCCCGCCATTTTGCCCAGCGCGGCCTCGCACCCATGACTGATGCATTTTGCGGCGGCGATGTTTTTTTTGATCTTCCTGGTGCTCGCTGCGGATAGTTTGTATGGCTTCTGCATCTTCTCGAGTAGCTCCTACGTCAGGTTAGCGATATGGAAAGTCTAATTTGCGTATAGAGAGGCTATGAACTGATTCGGAGTGTTTCTGCTCCTGGAGAGTAGAAACTCGTCTTCATGTCATAACGGCCCATTCCAATCCAAACCAACCAAGCCACGGTACGTGGTGCACGCGTAAAAACACATTAGTTGAGGGGTAATGATTTTTCTTACCTCTACTACACTGTCTTCACTAGACGGGGATGGGCCCACGTCCTCACGCTTCCCAATATACTTAGACTTAGGCAAACGTGCCCTTTCGGCGCCTGTAAAAGTCTTCTCGAGACCAACGCCTATTATCGAGTCCTCACGGTCCCTTCTAGCCTTGACAAACTTTGCCCATTCATCTTTATCGCCCGATTTACACTCCTTCTTGGGGAGAAGAGCAGCCGCTCGCATAGCGTAAAGCTCTTGCTCGGCCAGTGAGTTTTCACAAAACAACTCGACCAGGATATCATCTGGCGGAGCTCCCTGGTAGAAACTCATTCTCCGAAGCTTTGAAGTGACTTTTTCCAAGATTGTTTCGCACTCGGGATTTAAGCAAGCATAAAACAGCCCGCATGATGTCATGATCAGTGATCGGGAGCCTAGCAATGTCGTCCATACCATCGAGTCGTGCAGTGGTCCACGTTCCTGCAGTTTGTATTCGGCGATTCTGAAAGCCTGCTTGTTCTTGAACCCAAGATCTCCAACCATCCATACGTCAACATACGATACTCTGCCAATGCAGCTGACAGACAGAACAATTCGCAATGATTCCTTCTCCCAGTAATTGAAGACTGTAAAACTATTACCCACGGGGAGAAGTCTGTTTATATTAACAATATTACTGAGTGATGGCTGGTGGCTGAACCAAATCAGAATTCTTTTCATGAGATCATGGGCTTTGAGTTCAAACAGCTCGAAAGATGCCCGATGAGAATATAGCTCAGCGATGATGGAAACAAAGCTTTGGTATCGTTCAGAACTGACAGAGGATTTGATATTCTCCATGAATAGAGTGCATCCTTTCTTGTCAGACATGTTCGTCGGCCTGTTGATCTTCGGTTCTGTCGATACATTGTTGGGCTTATTTTGGATATTAACGGGTTTCTCACTAGTGATGTTAGGTACCGTTAGTAAAGTTATTAGACTAAGGTTGGAATTCGGTAGATAAACCTACCTAGTTATGGATTCTCCTTTGTGCTCCCCGCCTTTTCCAAAGCAAGCATTTTCTTTTTCGTTGGTACGCTGAATTCCCTCGCGAAGAGGCTGAGATCCTTTATTAGAAGGTTGGAATTCTTTATTAGAAGACTGAATTCGACCGGTAGAGAGCTGGAATTTTGCACCAGTTGAAAATTGGTTTTTCTCAACAGAGGACGGAATTACTTCAGCTGGTAACTGAGGCTTTTTCTCAAAAGGCGTGAAGTTCCCAGCAGCAAAACGGGCTACATTTTCCGGAGAAAAAGATGGGGGCGGATTTGCTTGATCATATATAGCCCTAGTTTTAGCTTTAGGGATACTAGAAAGAAATATCAGCAGACTGCATGCGAGGACTAAAAATAACACCATATTTCTTGAGTTCTCACCTTGTTACTTTCTGAGCCATGGCAGGGATAGGTTCTTTAGAAGAGGCCGCCTGACTAGAAATATTTTGACGCGGTTTCAAGTCTACAGGCCCTATCTTAGAGCGTAATTCTGACCTAAATTGAGTGTTTTGTTTAATAGACGCCAAGTGTGCTGGAGAAAATAGCGGAGCCACGACGGGTGGATTGAAGATAGGAGCAGTAGGCGTTACATCTGCACGGGATGGAGTAGGAGAATGAGGAGGAGGAGAGGGGTGAATGCCAATGCGATGGGGGCTGTGAACACGCTGGGATGAACTAAATGAAAATGGCGAGCTGAAGTTAAACGCCGGTACCGCTGTTGATTGTATTGGTGATGATGTAGGAGGCCGTTGAAAGTCTTCGGCCAAGGGGTCTTGACATGAGCCATCTGTAATACTAGAGCTCGGTGACCGTGCGCTATAGTCAACTTGTGTTAGTACTCGATTGAGGGGGGTAGAGTTCTCGATAAATTTAGGGTCGTCTTACGGAAAAGCCCCTGGCATTTTTGGAGTTGTAGAAAGATCTGGAGCAGAATACTTGATCTCTCGCTCTTTCATAATACCTTGATTTCTGGATTCAAGTAACGGAGAGCCCTGGCCTGAGAGAATACTGCCAGTCGTAACAGGAAACAAAGGGAATTGATTTTTTGTAGTACTGGTACGTTGGGCGGAGAAATGGAAAGTGTTCTTCGTAGGACTACCAAGACCCGACCCCGAACTGTTATCATACGAGATAGGAATTTTGGATGGAGTAAGGTTAGGAAATGCCTTTGGAAGATTAGACTCGGTAGTTTGGCGATTACTGGTGCTAATATAAACGTTAGCATTAATCAATACAAAACGTCCAATGAATTAGAGTTTCGAATACTTTGGAATTTCGGGACGCAAAGAGAATTTCTTGACTGATTTTGCGTCACCCCGACCTTTGTTTTCTACCGGGACACAACTTTCATCTTGAGCAGATATAAGAGGTGAAATGGTAGGATTGAAGAATGACTTGGATGGCGTTGGGGTCGGATTATTTTGAGCTTGTTGATTGTCTATCGGACCATGGCTGCCAGGTTGAATAGATGCTGAAGGCGAAGTGGAAGTATTATACAAACCGTCGTCTCGGTGATTGATACTAGCATGAGATCAGAATTTATTCTTGGAGGAAGATGCAAATGAATGAAGGTTTTTCTCACTTGGACGGTGGAGAAAACCATTTGACGGGAGCTAGATTTTTTTGAGTAATATTTTCTGTCGGGCTCTTCTGAGTTCTATTCTCCGCCGCCGGCCCATAATTTCCAAGTTGAGCAAATACAGGGGATGACTTAGCATGATCCGGTACGTCGGCTCCACTGTGGTATTTACGAACAGAGGTCAGTACATCCACGGATACCAATCAATGTGTTAGTGTCTTGGAGCTTTAGTTACGTTGAAATTTCCGGGAACCAGTTGTGAGAAGGGTAGGCTGGATTTAAGTCCCTTTCAGCCTTTATTTGCTCTGATGATTCAGCGTCACTTGTAAACCGATTATCAACCCTTTTCACGACTCTAAGAGAAGTAGAAATGCTTTGGGAACTATTGGTTGGCGTTGCCGAAGAATTACGATTCCCCATCAAACTTTATTTGTTCAACATTGATCACCATCAGTAAAGGAGTATCATTAAATAGCTCTGGATTTTGAAGGATAAATATGATGCGAAAACATTACGTACACGGATGTTGAATGTGAAGGGTCCTTTGAAGACGACTGATCGGCGAGGAGAGGAGGGGGAGTCCCTGGATCTTTCTTCTCCTCATCGCTCCGCTTGCCCTTTTTTTTTGAATAGTACGCTGATTTAAGTGCTGAGAACATGATGGGTTAGAAAACCTCTATATCCAGCTATTGAAGACGGATTTGGGATATCTGTGAGGGGGTGAGGTTGCTTTTCATGCATGCGCAGTAGTTGTTGTGATGGTTGTAGTTGGGGTTGCAGTTGCGGTACGTACATGTAGTGATGGATAGTGATGGCGGCGGTGGTGCGTAGGTACCGAGCGGAGGCGGGTCCTAACAGTAACCCGGCGAACAATATGAGAGCTAGTTTCGTAGGTACCCAATATCCCCTACGAGTAACATGCTAAAAGTGGGATCTGGGCCTTAAGTACATGTACGTTTCCATGATATTTTAATCGGAAAACATGATCAAAATTCTCTATCAAAGGTGCAGGGATATTTTTATCTTGTCTCTCTCTGTCTTTATTTCTTCCAGACATTTCTACTTCCAGACTTAATATTCGTTTGCCTGACTTCCACTCCTCGAGATAGGTTACAAGAAAAAAAGAAGAAAAAGAAGAAAAAAACGAAAGAACCGTCTTTCTAAAGCTCAACCCTTACCTGAACTTTGATGGGCATGGGCTATGACTCTGTCTGCCAACAATCTCTAACATTCATTGATAACGAAGATAGGATTCTTCGATACTAAGTATGATCAATGCAATGAGAAACACAAAAGATGGGAATTAATAAACGCATGCATATATAATACACCTCCTATCCCAGGGTCGCATCGATACAGAGCACAAGGTTTATTCACGAACAAAATGGTTCAATGCATCATGTACGTACATGTATGATAGGCGGGATGCGCGCGCGCATTACATGACGTATGTAATAGTTTCATGCTCAATACATTGAGATAATTGACATTGTATCCTATTGTAAGTGGCCAATCGATCCTAACGTATACTACATGTAGTAAGAGTAAAGGGGCGTTACCATTTCGTAGACTCTTGACGACAAAGACACATTGAATGTGATGTATGTCATGGGTGCCGATTCGACAGACGCCAAGCCTTTGACACAAGGTGAGTGATATCCTGTGAAGGTGAATGAATGATTTTTGATTCTCGGTAATAATATACATGCATCAACTATGATGAAGAATGTAAAGACAAGAAAGGTTTCGTAAATGACGGCTGCCTATTGGTAGAAACATGGAAACAAGGCCTAGAACTTACATGCGCAGTCTCGGTCTCTAGTCTCCGGCCTACTACAGAACGGGCAACGGCCAAACAAGAAACTTTGCAATAGCAATGGTGAGATTAATTTGTAGGGAAATCATGCTCATTTACAAGGAAAAGCTTATCTCGTTAAGGAAGATCTCTGGGATTAAGTTCCATGGGATAAAGAAATTCAACAAACGTACGAACTTTCAACGCATTCTGTACGTACGGGATTATGAAGAGGTATTTATATGTAATTCTTGGTAGGAACAGCTATAAAAGATGGAGAAAAAACTGAATTGTTAATTGTGTCTGTCTTATACGATATATGGACTGCGTTCTATCACCTCATGAAATGCCTGCCCAAAACATTGACAGTATTATATATGACTACTTCATGTATCTGTCTCCTGGTGGTAATACCGGACCCGATCGCGATAACCATTATAGTAGATTATATACATATACCTAAGCGTATGTGCCTTTTAATCAGAGTATATGTAATTTGGGGCAGTCTGCTAAGGTTGTTGTGGTTTGGATCGTCATTCCTGCACCTCGTCTCCATCCCTTCAACTTCTCCTGATCATCTCTGTCGCTTTTCCATCCCGATAAGACTGAGCACTCCTCACATTGAACACCTCCCAAAATCCCGATCATCTCTCCCTCGGCATTTTTTTAAATTCCTAGATAAATTGCAACAAAAATGCCCACCATTAAGGGTGTTCTCGACCTCAGCATACAGACCTCAGACGGGCAAATTCTCAATGAATATGGCATCACTCGCTCGAACAAGGGCTCACTTTCCACCTCCTTCGTCCTCTCTCCAACCGGAGCTTCGTTCCAAATTTGCTTTAGGCCAATCCAATCTCTCTTCTCCCACTTGGACGACTACAGAACAGTTGGATATCACGACCCCCACTGGAACTTGGTAGCACATATTTATATCGACAAAAGCGGAAATACGGAAAGAAAGGTTATTGTAGAACTTCCACAAAAAGGAGTCCCCTCTGTGATTACCATAGCAAAAGGTCGCCCAGCTATAGGTGAAGATGGCACCCCAATGGAGCAGCCATGGATGTTTAGTGAAATACCGGTGGAATACCTAATGGCTGGCCTCTCAACCGGCGAGAAGCTGGAAAAAGCCTATGGGGGAGAATCTGTCGAAGGTCCTAATCACCAAACCGAAATGGGCCAAATCAAAATCATCCTACATCGTATTTGCCAACGCAGAGTAACAGCCCAACAGACTGACAGCTATATGTCGAACACGGAAGACCCTGGATGGATAGGCCATGATGTCTCACACGTTGTTGGGTAAGCTAGACGAAAGATAATTGAGTTTTATTGAACTTTCAAAAACTAATAATAAGTGTAGAATCGGAGAGGCAAAGCCCTCAGAAGATATATACTGGGAGGTGGATTACATTGATACCATCGAAAATCCGTGGGCTACCATGATTTTTATGTACCGTGGAAAGAGTAAGCCCTATAGATGATCTTAAGACCATATTTCTTCAGTGATCAATGACTAATATAGCGACTACAGAGCCGCTCCAGAAAATGGGGTTAATTCCCCAGGATGATCCTATTTTAGGATCTCTGAATCCCTCCAGCCTTAATCAACAATTGGGAAAAAGGGGTTATCAGAATGTCAATTTTATCGATACCCTGACAGCTCGAAACCCGGCCATGGATCCCACTTTCAAGAAGTTCAAACAGGATATCAGGAATAGCGACGATGCGGTACCTGAAAAATATTTTCCCAAGATCGCAACAGCATTCAGAACTTCTTCAAATCCCCGTGCAGGAGGTTCCAAACAGAATACCACTGGAAAAAACAAAGTGTTCCGTGCAGATTCGCTCCCTAAGCTTGATGGAAAGACTATAGCTTCTTTTAGGACCTCATCTAGTATCCGCAGAAAGAACCCGAAACAAGATAACAGCAGCGGAGGTGATGCCGAACTTGCAAATTCATTCTCAAAGATTGCTATTCGGGCTAAGAAGAATCTCATCCGAAAGGGCACAAAGGATCATTCCAAGCAGCCAAACAACACTCAATCTGACAATGAAACATGTGTTGATAGCAGCGCCAGCAATGCGATGTGGGTCAGACAATACAACACCAGATCCAGCACCAGACTCCAACAGACAAGTGAGTGGGGATTCCTGGAAGAAGTTGAAAAGAATGCACCGGTGGCCGATGCTCCCATGAACTCGGAAAAGGTAAAGAAAGGGAAAGGAGGAAAGGATGGTGTACATGAGTTTTGAGCCGGGGGTACATCAGCATAATTTGGAGTAGCAAAGCATCCGGAACCAGACCCGAAACAAAACTGGAACAGAAAACGATTAGAGAAGAGTAGTTACACTGATGGATCATGTGGTGATGACTGGGCGCAGAAAATTTAATAAAATACAAAGGAAAGGAAATAGACGAAATCAGAGAGGCAGGCACTTTGAGGTGAGTTCGGAAATCTCACAGAATAAATCCTGTACTTACGTCACGCAAATATTGTACGTTATATTCGTTTTAGAATGTACACAGGATAAAATGATTTATCCACAATCCAATCCACTTAACCAAACGGGCTAGAGAATAGAATAAATATGTCTTGTGAAGTTAAACTGAAACGCCAAAACCGATAAAACATCTTGAAAGGCCCATCAATTTGTTTGAGCATGTATTTTGGGGACAAGTTTTTGCCTGCCAATCGCACTTTGTTAGGCCTTAGATATCAGGAGTAGTAGGTTGTAGAAAGCGGGCTTGGTGAGTGTTAGTAGTATTTACTATTCCTAAAAACTATGTACTTGTACCTCGTAATTCGAATATTCGGCCGGTCGCACGAGACCTTGAAATCCCCATATTTGGATATTTGTCTTGAATGCACTCCCTAATCTTCACTCATGATCATACACAACTTCGACGTCTTGTGTGACCTGCCGTCTACAGTCGTACCTCGTTATGTCGTTAGCGTATTCTGGAAGCCAAACCCCTACGAGATAGCAAATATACGAGACAGCAAATAGTTTTTGGTGGAGAAGGGCAGTGCCTGTCCCGCAAATCCGTACGAGACAGCAAGAGATCCGAGATATTGAATTACGAGATACGACTGTACTTAAACTACAACGGTAGCTCCTTTCAGCCAGTCTAATAGGTAAAATGCAGGTTATATATAGGTTTCGGTCCAGTTAAACTTTAGCAAGAATCGATTCGCCTTTTCTTATCAGCCGGACACTGGAGGAAAATAGAGGATACTAGACAGAAGTCTCCGAGAATTAGTATTGATTTTAATGATAGACTTTCTATCATAAATGTCGATATATTAGTAGGGAACCAAGTTTTAGATTGTGCAATGGCGACATTGTGATCTCATAGCCCAGCCGAAAAAACTCACTCCAACCTTCCAGGACACAATATACAAGTTCTTTAAAGCCTCCTGTATCCTATTTGTACAAATAGTGTATCTGAAACATACCTACATACTTGGTTTCTGCTTTTTGAGGATATCGTTGATGGTAAGATCCAACGCAACTTTCTAAACAGAAAGCCTGACTCTGAGTGTCCTACTAGGATAAGTACTCAGTAGCACATATAAGAATACATATTCTAGGCCTTGTAATTAGAGTCAGCCACATCGCCTTTTAATTCCCTTGTGGTGCCGAGTGGTTGAATTTTATATAAAGGGTGGGTCAGCTTCGCAGCACCCTAAGAGAGAATCGTGGAACTGAATTAGCCATACAAAGCCATGCACAGCAGATAGTTGGGTATGTGCTAATACCAGCCAATAAACCAATTAAGGTCATATGGAGTAAAAGAAAAATCAGCATGATTCTGTGACCAGAAATATATATTATTGCGAATATATCAGACTGGTACATGATGTACGCAGCTGTGCTTGTACGATCATGGTAGATCTCGAAATGGCTCACAGTTCACTCATTCATAACCGTTGGGCTTATGACTGTGAAGGTATTAACATCTGAGGGGTTGGATCAACATGCGTATGTATGTCACAGTATGTGCCCTCAAAATCTCTTGGGTCTTTCTGGGATCAACGGCCACTAGAATAAAACATTCCTGGATAAACCGAGATTTACTTTAGAAAAGAGCGTGGGATCACAAAACTTCGACTCAGGAATTCAAGTTGATTTTAGAAGTTTCTTTGCGTGCTGCAATTATAATTAGTGGGTTTTATTAGAAATTTCAGGTATTAAGTAGGTACTCGTATTTTTTATTGAAGCAAGACATCAACAATTATCAGCCACCAATCAGTTTTCATTATGATTATTGTTGCATACAGCGGCACTGCCCAGCCACTTTGATAGATGATAGGATGCCGAGTTTTTTTTCATTAGTTTTTTTGCTCATGCACCTCTTTATCCATCCAAGAACACGGCGCGCCGGCGTCCACGGAAGATAGCTGCGGAAAAATCCTGGGAGTGCGTATGCCCGACCGAAGATCTGTTGACAAGCCAAGATAGTAATCTTTGTCAGGCAGAGCTTTACATGCATGTAGAACTCATCACAAGGTTATTCGGAGGTATGGCACTGGCAGATAGAAGTGCTCTGATGAATCCTGCTCATGCCGACATATCAGTTTGCCATGTGCTTTATCTAGTAGAGGAGGTTTTCCCTCCTACCGAGATAGATAAGACTTTGTTGATTAATTTGTTCTCGGCCTGTGTTAAAAGCGCTGAGGGCGTGCAGCTTTATCCTGGCTGCACACAGCTCCGGTCCTGCTTAAACTGCCTCGTCAAAAAGACATCCACACAATCTGTATGTATGTATATCTACTTATCTGCGTGATGCTCAAACTCAGCCCCAGCACATTAAGCTACGACATCAAGCGCAGAATATGTCACAGTACCGCAATATCTACTGACAAATATCGTCAACAGCCTAATATTCGTTTGGTGTTTCCTGCATAAAAACAGCCTGACAACAGCACTCACAAAGACTCTCATCGGTTTGTCTATCCCCGCAAATGGCCATTTTCCTCACGCACGTGCTTCCCCTCGCCTGAGAAAGGTAATGATCAACACGACTGGATTCGTTCGTTGTGCTGGCTCTCCCGCCGCACAGCTGCAGCTCGGATGAAGGTCATGCGGTTGCATCGCATTCAATGTGCGTTTGTCGCTGGCATGTCGTACAAAATCGGAGAGCCTCAAAAGGCGGAGAGAATACTCAAGTGGCATGTGTAATCCGCACCGTAAGCTACCCATGCTCAGGAGCCTCACCCTGAGTCCGTTCATGCGGATCAGCTGGTCTGGCTTTTTTTCTTTGCTTCTAGCCGAACTATCGGATAGCCGCGACTAAGGACGGCTTCTCGCTTCAGAAAATCACTGTTAATGTCAACTGTTATTTTGATTACACACTCTACTGGGTATTTCCGTGTAAGTAGGCAATCCGCAGTCCAGGTTACAGGGTCGATGCGCCGTGCAGATCTTGAACCTTCACTTTCCACTGATTGGTCAGTGGATCTTTAGAGTCGTAAGATTTATCGAGAATCAGCGATGAAGACGTTTCTTGGTCATCAAAATCGATCTCCACGCTCAATAATCTAGAATTGTGTAACCAGTCTGCATGTGTTTGGAATCGACAACACACTTTAAAGTTTGCCATTAAGGTTAGGTATCTGTTTGGGGATTCATGCATGCATGTGCCCACGAAGTCAATATAAAAGCAGTATAAACAGAACCCTTAAATATAATTATCAATAAATTAATATAAAGATTCGATTCTCTTGATTGGAACAAGGGGCGTAAATAACGACGAATCTTAAGACATGGAGTAATGTTCTAAAAGGTAATTAGCTATTTTGTACTGCCTCTGCTAGAGAAGTAAGGGACATGCGTTGATACATTAACTATAGGGAATGGGTAGGTTGTTGAACAAGCGTGTAATGTGTGATTGATTTAGCGGTAGTTCTTCAATCTCGCTGAAATGATTTAACTTATCACGCTTGACGGCGTGACTGAGGACGATAAAAGCCGCTAGTTCCACCGTCGTTGAGAGGTGGGGCTGACATTGCAGTCAGTGTATAGTACGGTAGTTGTGAGATGAGCCTGAGGCGGACGGGGAGGTTGGAAGGAAGGAAGAAGTCGTCATATCCGCTGAGCTCGTGTATATTGCAGTACCCTAGGCATAGGCTAGTGAGAACTCTAAATTGACCACATGTATAGGCGAGCGGCTACGTACCAAATAGAACAGATTTGATTTAATTCGACTGAACAACTACATGGATCCCCAAAACCATCTTTGAACAAGTATATGTACTTGTACCTACATGTATGGATATAGGGAAATTTTAGTGACAGACCGTAACATTTGACCGTTCTGATACGCATATACTGGATACCCAAACAACCCTAAAACGAAAAGATTGTTAATTTTATACACGTGAAACATATCAAACCAAACACACACTCTGTTCAACCCTGTGCGTTCCAACTCCTCGTTGGGCGCAAATTATTTTTTGAAAGTTGACCAGGTAAACACAGAGTAACTCGCCGCTCAGCTGCGTTTAATACCGGTACCGGTAGTTAAACAAGATGTATGTATGCATGTCGCCATTGGCATGGGTTACAGATGCCGCCTCTGGAATTTAAGCTACTGCGCAGTGCTCGTGGAGTTTTCTTCAGGAGCTGCTGTCATAACCCAGCCAGTACCTTGCAGTCGATCTTCCAGACTAGTCGCTAAGAGGAATATATTCGGAAGCTATTGGAACGGAGTCGGAAGATATAGCACCCGGCGGTCAATTTTTTTTTTGTTTTCCCGAATTCTTCCCTCGGCAGCGATCCCCCTGAACGTTCCCTGTTCTTCTGCTAGCTAGTATCCTCCAGCCCGAGCATGGTATTTATTGACTAATAATTTAGGTAATAAATCTTTGGTGCCAGGGCTCCATTTGCTGATAAGCTTTTGTGAATAACTACAAGTGGAATGGTACCCTCTCGGTTATTATGGGCTGCAGCTGTCGTCGGTCCGTAACCTCTAAGGTGCATGCCGTACCTATTTTGTTTATCCCCCTTTTCTTCTTGGCAAAGTTGTTTCAGAGATTTCTTTTCATCTTCACGTTCCTCCTACATTCATCGACGTTGGAGGTTACAAAATGTTTCGAGAAGGATCAGGGAAGAGATATTCGTGACTTATATACTCCTAAACGCCCACACCTCCTCCGAGTGATACTCGATGACACGAGCCCCTCTGTGATTGGAGGCCCAAGCTTTGTAATAACCCCTCATAACATTGATCTGTGTTAAATTAGTATCAGGTTATTTTTGTGGAGATGATCGGATCCCAAGGCGGTAGAAGCGAGCTAAGACATCGCCGAAGGAATCTCTATGGCGGGGATGTTGGTGTGCATTTGGGGGCGATGCTGGGAACGAATGTGATACAAAGTACCGCGTATCATCATAGGCGCTCTCATGCTCATGAAGCAGGATTTTTTTTTCTTCTTCCTCACATTCTTCAGAACTGCCGTTATCCATAGCCCACCCTCCAGCAGTTACCCATCAAGGGACCAAGTTTTTTCGTTGCATACCTAGATATCCGCGTTGTCGCCTGTAATTGTGAGAGTTTTACGTTCCTGAAGCTGCACTTAATCATAACTGGTTGCGATGATATGTGGCTCTTCCCCCATCGAGATAGTCGGCTTAAATGGCCTTGCGCGGGGACACAGATGACTTGTTTCCCGTGCACCTTGGCGATCACGGAAACAAATCAAACGGAAATAGCCAAAGACATTGGCCCACGTTGATGCACGGTCGCCCTAACCCTGAAGCCACGTCTGGTATGGTTTGGTGTCGCTGACGGGCAGCGTAAGGGCTGCAGCCAACAGCTTTCAGCTGCAGATGTCTGTGGCGCCGGGTCCGAGATACATATTGCTATGGCTCCCCTCTTTCTCCCCTTTTTTCCTGCTTGGATTCGATCTGAGGAAGAGAAAGGGTGGGTGTGTGCCATACTTTTCTATTCAAGATGAATTCCCGCGATGAGTCTCTACCTATGTCACCCACGAAGACAAAGCAGTTCGTGACCATCTTTGGAGCAACAACACCTACTTCCCAGAACGACATGGTTCGATCTGATGATTTCCGAGATGATGGTGATTTGAGTGGAGATGAAGATGAAGATGATGATGAGGAAGGGGAAGAGGAGGACGAGGAAGAAACAGAAGATGAGGAAGAAGAAGGAGCTGTTTCTTGGCAGAAGAATAGCAATCCCGTAGGATCAACCTTGGGGGTTTTGGCAGCTATCAAAGAGGAGGATTCTAGCGACGAGAGATCACCGAAACCCAAACGTACAGAACGAGTCAATCTGGTCGAGAACGCCCCGGCGGAGAAGTTGACATATGGCTATTTCGATTACACAACGTCGAAGAAACAAGCAGGAGCAGTAGCAACCCCTATCGAGGAAACAGCGGACTCTGCTGCCGACATCACCGAACCCTTAGGAAGACCACTGACTACGCAGAGGGTAAAGACCCCCTTGCCCGAAAGGCAGGAGCAGAAACAGGATGAACCCTTTGTGAGGTCAACTTCGCCAGTCTGTATGGATTGCATCGTGAATGGAAAGGATCATCATCATGGAAGGGCTCCTGTTCAGTCCCCACCACCAGCAAGGGCTACCTTTCCTCAGCCTTCTTTAGGAGCCTCCCTGAAGAGGACTTCAAGCGAGTCGATAGGATCGAGTGATTCCGCACCCTCGATAGATCCCAAGCCAGAAAATGACATCTCAGGAACACCAAATAAATCGCTGGGTCATCCGAGTTTCTCGACACCCCAGAAACAGCCATTTGACGGCCAGGCTCCCCCGACTCCAGCTGCAACTCCGAATACTACTCCGGCGTTGAGGAGGAAAGGAAGTCTCCCCGTTAGAGAGCTTACGCCTTCACGGGATTTGCATTCACAGGGGAGTTTTTCGGACATTACACCTCCACGGGATCAAGCGAGCTTGAAACTAGCGATACCAACACCACCGAAGGAATCACAGGCAACTCCTTCCCACGACCGGTCATCACCAACGAAAAAACTGTTTAATCCAGGTACCCCGGCCAGACAACGGGTGCCAGCCATCCCACCGACTCCTCCAACTACACCAGCAAGGAGAAAAAGTTTGCCCCACGAGTTTTCAAAATCGTATCTTAGCCTTCCAACTCCAGTGGAAGAGGAGCCATCCTCAGCCATAGAACCCGCCCAAGCCCAAGCACAAGACCAGACCCAGACCCAAACCCCAACCCAGACCCAAACCCAAACCCAGACCCAAACCCAAACCCAACCCCAGACCCAAACCCAACCCCAAGCCCAGACCCAAACCCAACCCCAAGCCCAGACCCAAGTCCAAACAGCGAGTGAGATTAGAAAGGGACGTGGTCATAGCCGAAGCCATAGTGAAAGCCATAGCCACAGTCACAGTCATAGTCACAGCCATGGGGATGGAGATGACGATAACTGTCCATTTGTTAGCAGAGCCCGCATCTTCAGAGATATGCACCAAACCAAATCATATTCAAACAAACCTAATGTACCGGAATCATCACGGCGTTTGTCACACTCCTACAGCGCATCAGACATCCATAGTCAACGGCGTTCGTCTAGTCTCCCCCGAAACCCCGACCCTTCGTATCTGGGGATGCCATATGGCTATAGCCGTTCCACATCACCGGAGCTTTCACGTCTATCACAGAGCTACATCCAGCGCCCCGGTTCTTCTGATGGTTATAGACGCCCGGGTTCTTCAGATGGGTTTAGGCGTCCTGCCTCGTCCGATGGCTTCAGACGTCTCGGTTCATCCGATGATTTTCGACGCCCTGGTTCTTCAGATGGATCCAGGCTGAACTACAGTTATTTGCAGAGTCGACCTACAACTCCAGACGTTGGCTATGGGGGTAACAGAGTCCCTTTGGAAGGCTCCGAGTCGGGTTCATGGATGCCCCACCCACCCCCACCGAGTATAGCATCTTCTGTTGGGACTTCCGCCAATTCCTCTATGCTGCTAAACCCTCTAGCACCAGCAATAAATTTCAGAAGAGAGATTCCTCAGCGACCTGTATCCCGGAACATTTCCGAGAACGATCTGCACAACATAGGGCGTTTTTTCGACTCTCTCGCGAAGAGGGCGGGCGAACCAATCGAAGAACCCGAATCACCAATAGAGGAACTAACTTCAGAATCAAGAGTGGGGACAGTCGTGCCAGATATCCCCAAAATAGAGATCACTGAGCAGAAAACTGTAGATCCAAAGACGAGCGAATTGGATACAAATATTCTTACAGTTATCAACAAGTATTACCTTCGAGGCCAAAACTTCTACAACTTTGTTTTCTCCCTCTTGATCTTCTTTTTTGGGCTTGGATGCTGCATTGGGGTGGCTACAGGTTTTACATACTTCTTTGGAGATCGTGGTCTTGCGGCTGCTCTTTTTGGTCCAGGGAAGCTTTTGGAAGATCTCAGTCCCTATATTGCGTTTTCGATGTGGTTAGGACTTTTCATATGGATCACCGTCTTCTCCAACCGGGCATTCAATCCAGATGCCGAGAAACTCAGGAAACAAGGCCTCCTCGCCGAAATCATTGGATCCCAACGGGCAACAACATTCAAGAGAAGACTCAACCATAGAAGGATGAAGATAGTTATATTATTTGTTCTCATTTCCGCTGGGATGCGCGGTTTATACCTTGGTGGACAGATCGTTGTGCCTCCTTTAGTAACGGGAATGAACAAGGGAGTTGCAGCAGGAATGGATTATTTCAACACCCTGCGTACCCCCACCACAGAGGTCGTGACTGGGACAGAGACCGAGGTGGATGCAGCGGCGCAGGATCCCTGGGCAGATATGGATTTCATGTACTTCCAATCTGCTGAGGATATGGGAGCCAAGGAGGCCAGTAGCATGAAGGGGAGCCAAGGGTACTCTCCGAGCGCGGATGGGGGTTACTTTGGGGATGAGAGGGAGATCAGTTGGGGAGAAGTACTGAAGATGGGGCTGGCTGTGTTTGCACCGCCTATGGGTGTGGGCGCATTGGCCTGGAGAAGGGGGAGAAGCCAGTGAAGCAGACATTTTTTTTGTTTTTTATGATGATTATGAAATCGGCATGACATCGTTTGGAAGGTTTACAAAACAACCTTTCAGTCATATGGAGGAGAGAAAGACTTTGGGAACATATTTTTATAAAAATTGCTTTTGGGGGTTGTATTTTAGCGGTCGGATTCGGTTTCATTGTCAATGTGCCTTTTGGGAGACGGTCGGCATCCGGAGTTTTTTATCTTTTATTTTTTTATACCATTTGTTTTTTTATTACATCTCCTTTTGTATCCACGGGCTTTCAGTCGATATCTGTTTATATGGATGGGCTGTCTAAATTGTTTTTATTTTCGGTTTGGCCCGTTTTTTCTTTCAACTTTTCTCTTCTATTTCATGTTTCTCTCCTCCTTATGATTACGACCTGTCATGACGATTTCCTTATCATCTTTTTACGACAATAACGATACGGCCTTTGTTTGGCTTTCATTATATATTATTAGAAAATATTAGGGGGTGTTAATAATACGGTGTACCGGAGTTGTGAAGGGAAGGCGGGGATGCGGGGAGACGTTGGGATTGGGTGTTCTGGGGTGGGGAATCGGGGGGGGGGGGGGGGAATGGGGAAGTTTCTAGATAGTAATGAGATACTATGTGTTGCAGAGCAGTTTTACATTTTGATTTGATATTTTTGTTTCAAGATATTTCGTTTCTTCCTGTTTCTACTGGTCTTGTTTTTTTTGTTTTTTTTTCCTTTCGGTGTCATGGAACCTCTTTTTTCTGTACCTACGCGTCTTCTGCTGACCGCACACATATCTAGGCCTTTCCCGCTCCCCATTCGTACGGTGTCGCCCGCTGCTCACTACTTATTTATCTCCGGGTGTACGGCGCGGCGGCTTGGCTTTCCTGCTCCTGTCAATACCTACTCTCTTTTTCCCTACGACTCTAGTACTCACGAACCGCAAGGATATTGTTGGCAGCTCATCACGATCCCATCGCTGTGGGTTATTGTTGTGGGGGTGATGGATGATGCTATAATATGGTTCATTTGCCTGCCTGCAGACACCGTGCAGTCTGGTTTAGGGCGGTTGTGTTGGGCATCGCGAGAGCTAATCAACCTTCACATGCAAGTCTGTCTGTACTCGAGAGTGCTAGTAGCTAGCCAGACCAGAACTCAACAAAAATGCAGCTAATAGCTCGGCCCCCGGACAATAACAAACATCCTTTTCCATCAATATATTTCGTGGGTAAAACATGGGACGCCGCCCCCCGGCGGGCCCGCCAATCATGCGTGCCGACGAAATGCAATTATCGGTACCTGACTGTGACCGGGAGCGTATGTAGCGTAGGTAGAGTAAGTACAGTATGGAGCTACACTAGCTCAGCAGGGCAGAGTACAGACTATCTTGTTCGGAGCTGCAGTTGCAGGTTGCAGTAGAGACAGAGGAGGTGCCTTGCCCGACGTATGGGTAGGCAGAGTATGGAAATACTTACTACGTGGGAGACGGGTTCGCGAGGTCTCTCTCTACTTAGCTCTAACTTTGGATGGATGGCTTTTGACATGCAGCAGTGTCTACCACATCGATGTTCCCTCACCAACTACATGTAACCAACTACAGCACCCATATTAATCCTCCCCATTCTTACCTCAAACATCCTCCACGTCGTGGGGTTTGGCTGTTGTTGTTGCAAACTAACTACCTACCTAGCTAGCCAGCCAGCCAGGCAGGGCAGAGCAGAACGCCTAGCTGACACGTAGAGTATGACACCCCACAACGTAGGTAGAGTAGAATACCCCAGAATCCGGGCGGACAAGACAACCCTGCATTGGCATGGTTTCTCGCTCGCTCTAGAGCAGAGCAGGCAGAGTGCCCTTTTCTCGCTGTGAGAGAGTAGAAAAGCCACATGGATATGCGCCTTTTCTGGGGAAGGTGCCGGCGATATATATCAAGGCCGGTGCATCCAGGCACGGCCTGCACAGTGACATGCGTGCGTGCGTGTGTGAGCGTGTGCGTAACTCAGGAACGGAGAGCTAGAGTAGAGAGAGTAAGTAAGTGTCAATCGATCACTCTAGTGACGTCCCACCCGGCCATGGCCACGGGTCCCATACTAAGCAAGTTACATGCTCTAAGTTCTCTGAGTCTCGCCCTATGAGGGGCCCGCCTGAGTTGTGCCCGCTCGGGTACCCGTCAGGGGGTCTATTTTGGGTGCTTTCGCCTCTGATCTCTCGGTCTAAGACTAAGAATAACTAGAGGACTTACTCTACATCTCTAGCTCTGGCCCTGTGGACGGTGATTTGCGGTTCTCGTCCCGTATTTCTTACTTTGAATCGGCCCTGTAGGGCAGGGCAGACATATCGCGGGCGAATTGAAATTTAGAGTTTATAAATTGCCCATATTGGTCCGTGCACTGCACTATCATCATCATCATCATTTTATTCTAAATATACCTGAGAGAGAAAAAAAAACATGTTTATCGTGCAAGAAAGTTGATTCGGGGGTGGTGAAAGAATGAATTATCAAATCAATCGGGCCAGGGGTGCACTGAAAAGAACCCCTAACCGAGTCTTGCAGCTTGGTTTTTGCAGCCTATGGCGCCCGGAGTTTTAAAACCTACACCTCGTTTCAAATCCCTAAAGCTAAACTATATTCTCATGAAGATGACCTATGCCTAGTTTGTTTCTCTAAAAATATTTGTTGCTGTTGAGTACATGTAGGTTTATCGATTTGTTGTCGCCAAGACCATTTCACTTCAGGTGTGGGGATTAGATGCTGGGCGCCATACTAAGAGTAATTATGGCTTGGCACACGGAATGTCACTCGGGCTGGTCCTCATATTCTGATTACCGAACGAGCGATGATGATGATAATAATAATTGATTAATTGTTTGGAACCGAACAAGCAAGATATTCTACCAATATCTTACCAGTTCGGTCTCCGGAAGTGGAAGTCTACTGGATCGGACGTTTTTCTGGTTCGGTATCAAAAGTACTCGCTCCCACATGCCTTTCAAAATTCGGATTGGTAGGAAGAGGTGTCACATAGAGGGAGGACTGGATACATATATCACTACCGCATTAACTGGCGAGAGCGGATAAACCACTAGTAGCAGACGCTAGACCTAACCTTCTGCAAATCTCTGAGAAATCGAGAGCCTAAGGCCAAATTCGGACCGAGTTTCGCTAATTTTGGTCAAGTTCAACTTGTCCACTCGACTCGCCATGAGTTAATGCGGTAATATATGTCAATTGGGGTATGTAGGAGGTATAAACGTGTCACACTGGATATATATATTCATCTTCTTAGAAAAGTCCCGTGATATTACAGCATTCTGTCTTGGCTGAATTACATACATATAAAGCTGTGATTTCCATTTAGGGAGGAACCGTAATTACTCTCTTAGAGATATAACTATATGCGTGTATATGACCTAACTATTAATACTACATGCTACATATAGTAATAGTTATTGCCTAAACGCCGGGCCGTCACTTAATGTGTATACGCCCCAGCCGCGGAGTCGGCATGGACAATATAAAAAACAGATCAAAATAATATAAGGAAGTGTTGATATATAGCTATAGGGGTGCGGACATATAATATTAATTCAGAAATGACAAAACTGTCAAATAGGGTGCAGAAAAGGAGATGTCAAGACGACTTTCTTTTTATTTTCGGATGATTTTTGTCTTATTCCCTTTCTGGCTCTCTATTTATAGTTAAGAAACTCTTCTCTCAGAAGAGTAGAGAGTTTTCCAGAAAGTGAAATATTTGCAGCCTTTAATGAAATTACCCGAAAAACCAAAGAAATAAAACCCGCATCAAAGAGAATGGAAGCGGCAAGGAAAAAGGAACAAAGAAAAATGAAAAGAACAAAGAATTTCCTAAATGGGAAGACGAATTCCCGAAATGAATAAAGAAAAGTAAAAGGGAAAATCCGTTAAAGGAAAGATTGAGGAGCCGGCTTTTTACCGTCGGGAACCCTGTTCCAGCATATACGACCCAGTCGCGGAGTCGGCATGGACAATATGAAGAACAGATCAAAATAATATAAGGAAGTGTCGATATATAGGGGTGCGGACATATAATATTAATTCGAACATGACAAAACTCCGCATGCGCGATGCGAACAACCAACCGGCCCAGATCATCTTCATTTTTAGATATAATTCCTACTGGTTTGGTAGTCCCCAGCTAGCCCCTCCGCGCTGCTTCTATCATCCCAGCAGCTTAATTGCTGCTAAGTAGTGGATAGCGAAAAGAGAAAACCCACACCCCTACGATTTGGGTCCGTTTCCACCGGCGTGATCGGCGTCAAGCATTTTTTTCTTATATGGCGGTATAGCAACCGCTCCCAGTGGCGCCTTCGATCCAGCATACAGGGCGGTGGAACGAGAGTCTGACAGCGATTTGGGGAGCGGGCGGAGACTGGTCTAGTTGGCCAGATTAGCCTAGTTCTACTACTACTTCTACTACCGACGTGGAGGAGCTAGGGTGCGGCTACGGCTGCGGCTGCGGGCCTTATTACGATTGCGCGCATGATTTTGCGGACTAGTGCGGGTGTCGCTGCGGGTGCAGGGTGTGCGGGGTGGGATCGGGGGAATCTCAAAGGTGCTTGGACACACCAAGCAGCCCCTTTTCCTTGGCCTTCCAGATCGCTTCTAGAAGTGCGGAATCCAACCCTTCTCATCGATAGAGAGGAACACAGTATCACCCTGTTTCAGTGGGGTTTTCCAGGGCGGTGGAACGACAGTCTGATAGCAGAAGCTGACTTGGTGGAGCCTCGAAATGTTTCGCAGCCGGGTTTAGAAGGTGAAGAAGACATGGTGGTCTAGTGTATATAGTGTGGTAATGATAGTGATAGTGATAGTAGGTGGTAATGATGGTAATAGGATGTGGCAATAGATAGGGAGTGGAAATAGGAAGTGGTAATGATAGTACTATTATAATAAGAAGTGGTAGTTAATGTTGATAGGGATAGTATAGCTGTGGTTTGGTTTGTAGATATGGTCGATATACGGGGTGGGGGC